GGGTAGATTTTGCCGGTGAGTCATGCTCTATGGCTACTAGAACAAGCCCACGCAGCTTGAGTCCGGCGCTTTACTTCGGTCGCGGGGGCGTCCTGGAAGGTGATCGTCTGTCCTAGGTGCTTGATGGTGTTGGTACGTGGCGCGGTGTCGATGTCCAACCCTGCTACTGTAGTCGCCCGGTCGCAGTGCCGAGTTTGGTTGGTCATGATTGTGCTCTTGGTCGGGTGTTGAATCAGTCCACGTGTCTTGGCAGAGGTGATCAAATCGGCAAGCGTTTGGCTGATCAGTAAGATCTGTCGTCTGCGAACCGGATGTTCGTGAGTGTCGACTCGTCGGCGAGGACCAGTTGAACGCCCCGGCGCTTTCTCTGCCAGTCTGGGACCGGCGGCGCCCAGATAATAATGAATTCAACGGGTACCCTTGCCTCGCGCCGCGACGGAGATCGACTGGTTTGCTTGTGGTGTCGGCGCGTGCCACAGCCGTCTGGTCACGACGCAGGCGTTGGAGGAAGTCTACGTACCCAGGTGAGTCTGTCGTGCTCAATTGTGTCGTATTTGTTTTTGTGGAGCTTATGGCTGCTACCCGTAGGCGCTGGTTCCATTCAGCTGCCCATTCTCGTAGGACGTGGAAAAAAAACGTGGCTCTCGTGTGCCCAGGCCAGGTCAAAAACCAGCTTTGTCGTCAGGTTGTTCTCGGTAAAGAGCTGGTCATCGTCTGTTGTAGAATACTCTGCTCCAGAGTTTGTACAGCATTCATTGGTATTGTTCCGCTCGGCGGCAGTCCTGGGGGAGTGCGAGGTCTCCTGACTTAGGAAGTAGGAAGTACTGTGATGACGGTTGTTCTCCAGGTGGCTGGCGCGGGGGCGTCTACCTTGATGTCAGTGCTGTACAGCTGCAATACTGCGCGCTGGAGCTCCAGGCCTGGCTGTTGGAGCATTTCAGCCCGAATGCCGTTGGTGTCGGGTGCTTTGTCACCTTTGAATTGCGCGATTGCTGCTTTATGCTCGGCTTCCGTGAAGTTTGGAATATGTTGCGGCTTGCTCGTCGCGTCCGCTGGCCGTTCGCTCGTGAAGGAACAGGCATACAAGTCAGCGTCGAAATCCGCGAATGTGTCCGCGATCCCTTGTCTCGTCGTCTACCTGACGCCGTCGGCCCCCATCATGTCAGTAATGAGCGTGCTCCTTCTTCTGGTGTTGACGGTGCGGATGTGCTTGAGGCGTTTGCACTGTTCGAGAATGGACCTGATTCGTTCCCTCCGGCTTGCCCGCTTTTGCCGTCGAATGCTCTGCTGGATCTTCTTACTGATCGATCGTCGGGCAGCGGCGTCTGAGGCGGGCGTGCCCCCGCGCTGTCTGACAAGGCCCGCAATGCTATCATCGTGAAGTTGGTACGTGGAGTCGTTTGCAAAATCTTTGTCCGTTTGTGGAGGCGTCGCCTCGGTGCTCGCGACGTGGGCTGCAGAGATGCACGTGCTCGTCTCGATTGTGCTGCTCAGATCCTGCGGGTTTGCTGGCAAACCTTCCAGTTTGCAGTTAGAGGCCCATGCAGCTCTGGTATCTGTCAAAAGCTACGTTCGTCCACTGCTGGATGTGGGAAGCGCCGTTTCAAAAAGTACTTCTCGAAGAGCGCCTGGTGTAGGATAGTGATCCCCCCCGTGGGGAAGCGAATGCGGAGCACAACGCCTTGGTGATCCGAGCTGGGGTCAACGATGTTCGAGGACTCGGCGTCGACGCACAGGGGCAGTAGGCTTCTATCCACTAGTGTAAAATAATATGGTTTCGGGTTTTTCCTGGTGTCAGTAATCTGCTTGGCTGGCGGTTTGCGGGAGCACGCGTTCCTGATCGCGAGCCTCTGGTCCGATCTAACTATGTGGAGCAATCTATGTGGTCCAATGTGCGCAGTGCATTCTATTCCCAACCATCCTGTGGTGTTGGGTCCTCGTTTTGAAGAGACGTCGCCCCGCGTTCCTTCCTTCCCGCTGCCCCCTCCCTCCTCCCATCTTCATCATCATCGTCATCATCCCCATCATCGTCATCGTCATCATCATCTGTCGTCATCATCATTATCACCACCCATGTCGGCACACCCCTCACACGTTTCGTGACCCCATAGGGAGCTCCACCGAAGGTCCCAGTGCGTGTGCCCGCATGCGTCCCGCACACTCATTTCGGCACACCCCTCACACGTTTCGTGGCCCCATAGGGAGCTCCACCGAAGGTCCCAGTGGGTGTGCCCGCATGCGTCCCGCACACCCATTTCGGCACACCCCTCACACGTTTCGTGGCCCCATAGGGAGCTCCACCGAAGGTCCCAGTGGGTGTGCCCGCATGCGTCCCGCACACCCATTTCGGCACACCCCTCACACGTTTCGTGGCCCCATAGGGAGCTCCACCGAAGGTCCCAGTGGGTGTGCCCGCATGCGTCCCGCACACCCATTTCGGCACACCCCTCACACGTTTCGTGGCCCCATAGGGGCTCCACCGAAGGTCCCAGTGGGTGTGCCCGCATGCGTCCCGCACACCCATTCGGCACACCCCTCACACGTTCGTGGCCCCATAGGGAGCTCCACCGAAGAGTGGGTGTGCCCGCATGCGTCCCGCACACCCCATTTTGGCACACCCTTCACACTATTCGTGGCCCCATAGGGAGCTCCACCGAAGGTCCCAGTGGGTGTGCGCATGCGTCCCGCACACCCATTTCGGCGTGGCCACACCGAAGGTCCCACGTTGTTCGGCCACCACACGTATAGGGAGCTCCACCGAAGGTCCCAGTGGGTGTGCCCGCATGCGTCCCGCACACCCATTTCGGCACACCCCTCATACGTTTCGTGGCCCCATAGGGAGCTCCACCGAAGGTCCCGCATGTGGGTGTGCCCGCCCAGTGCGCATGCGTCCCGCACACACATGTCGTCCCACCCCTCACACGTTTCGTGGCCCCATAGGGAGCTCCACCGAAGGTCTCAGTGGGTGTGCCCGCATGCGTCCCGCACACCCATTCCGGCACATCCCTCACACGTTTCGTGGCCCCATAGGGAGCTCCACCGAAGGTCCCCGTGGCGCAGTCCACATGCGTCTCCTTTGCCCAGTACAGCGTTACGTGGCCCCATATGGAGCCCCACCGCAGGTCCCAGCCAGCCAGCTAGCTCTCTTTGCTCCGCGCAGCGGGCGACCCGCGCGCGTCGCTGGGACTCCTCCGGGGCGACCTGCGCGCGTCGCGGGGGCTCCGTGCTGCGTTCCGCCCAGCGCCTCGCTCGCCCGTCGTCGCTCTGCCCAGCGGCAAGAGCCTTGCCCGCTATCAGCCAGCCAGCTAGCTCTCTTCGCTCCGCGCAGTGGACGACCCGCGCGCGTCGCTGGGACCCCTCCGGGGTGACCTGCGCGCGTCGCGGGGGCTCCGCGCTGCGCTGCTCCCGCAGCCTTGGACTTTTGAGTGCGCGGGCAAAGAGGGAGTAAAGGAAGGGGAGGAAGCGGGCGCGATCCTCGCGGGGGGGCGCGCCGACATTGGCGTCGCGGCGCGCGGGCGATGCCGTCGGGGAGTCCCGGGGAAGCTCCTTGCGGCGGCCACGCCCAGCGTCACGAGTATTCAGAGGCAGTCGTTGTCAAACTATTGGCATTCATACACATTTGCACCACGCTTTGTCATATTCGCATTCATGCACGTAGACTCGCTCGCACGCAGATCATTCACAGTCAGACGCACGCGCGCAGATTCACCCGCGCTCAGTCTCCCTACGTACTCAGATCAATCGTTTTCGTTCACTTTGTGTACCACGCCACTCATGTCGGCACGCCCCTAGCACGGTTCGTTGCCTCATAGGGATCGCCACCGAAAAAATGAATCACTATTGCGGTACTCGCACCTGCATATGGTTGGGTCCCTCGTCAGGCTAATTTTTCCAGCGCCGCTGGTGACCACCTCCTATGCTCTAGCGATCGTTACCCACCCATCCACCCGCAGCGGCGGCTGGCGGCGCTGCACGCCGTCTGCAACCGAGGAGACAGTCTCTGGGCACGCGCTGGAGCTCCGGGGCGAGAGGAAGCCTGAGGGTCAGGACGGGGGAGGGAGAGGCGGAGGGGTCTGAGGGGTCTGATGAAGCGGACGTCCGTCGAGGACGCCCCCGCCGCGCAGGGCAGACGCCGAGCCTATGCCCAGCAATCAAAACCGCCAGAGGCCCAGCCTATGCCAAGCCACTGGAGGGCGCCAGACCTATGCCTAGCACCTAAGAGCCAGAGAGGAGGAGGAGGAGGAGGAGGAGGAGGAGGAGGCGAAGGAGGAAGAGGAGGAGGAGGAGGAGGAGCAGGAGGAGCAGGAGGAGCAGGAGGAGGAGGAGGAAGGGAAGGAGGAGGAGGAGGAGGAGGAAGAGGAGGAGGAGGAGACTTCGAGGCGAATCCCGCCGTGGCGACGAAGGGCCTCCCGAGAGGCCGAGAAAGGCGAAATCGAAGCAAGGGTAGCGGTATCGGCACATTTCCCTCCTCTGAGGGAGGGCTGGCCATCACTCGGACGTCCATTCCTCGTGCTGTTTTCGGTCTCGTGCGTGGCTTTTTCGCCAAATGATCAAGGGTGCTCCTCGATGGTCCTCGCCGAAGGAAATATGCACACGTCCGAGCGATGCCAAGAGGAGGGGCAGGAGGAGGGCTGAACCTAAACGGTGTTGTTTGTTTTCGTTGTGGTTTCGTTTTCCCTCGTTTTGCCTCCAATCCACCCCTACCACAAAACGAAGTCGAAACGAAAGAGGCCCACGAAATTGCCAAAACACCGTCTAGGTCCAGCCCTGGGCAGGAGGAGCAGAGGACGGCGGCGCACACGATCTGGTGTTTGGCAATGCGCGGCCCAAGAGGACATGTTCCTTGGGGGTCGTTGTTCGTCCCGTATCCATGCTTGATGGTCCTGGGGACCATTTCAAAAAGGCCCCAACGGTCGAAATCAGCCGAAGCGCAGCAGGGAAAACAAATTCATAGCGTTGGAGATCTGGAGGAGCACAAGACGGCGGCGAAGACGGCGAGCCATCACGCCCATGGTCTTGACGCCGCCAGGGTGCTCACAATTGGAGCGCCGCGTGTGCGTCCAGTGCTCCTGCGGGTTGCGCGGGTCCTGTGCCGCGGCTCGGCGTCGTCGTTGTCGCCCGCGTCATCGCCGTCCTGCTCCTCAGCCTTGCTCCGCCCTCTCCTGCACTACCTCCCACATCCCACTTCCCTCTAAACTCGCCTGCTGGCCCAAGACGGCCCGAAAAGGCTCGCAAGGGGGCCCCGAAACGCCCCGAGAGGGCCCCCAGACGGCCCAAGAGGCCAGAACGATGGCGTCCTCGTCGCCCGTCGCCGCCTCGCTCGACGCCGACGCCGTCGTCGCCGCTCTGCTCCTCCGCTTTGCACCGCCTCCTCATGCCCTGCCTCTCGCATCCATCTCTCTTCCATATAAACAATTTCCCCCCTCTGCCGCACCACCAGCTGATTCGTCAGGGGCGGGCGTTTCGCCAGAGCACCTCGCACCGGCTGCGGTCTTGAAGCCTGGCATTGCAAACAGATGGACGGACGAAGGGACGGGTTGTTCTCGGAATGGGGCTCACGCCCTGTCTCCGTGCACCCTCGCGCCAAAACGACATGATATCTGCACAGCTGGAGGCCGAATCGTCTCCACCTCAAGCGAGACGGGCCAGACCATGTCGACACTGGTCGTCTCGGAACGCTGACTTGTGAGGATGTCTCATGCGGAACGGACCGCACCAACTCAGCACGTTGCCAATGTCTCGACGCGCGGGCCCATCGGGCGGCATTCGTTCCTACCGCCACATTGCCCTCCGGCACCGGCCGGGCGACCCCGGAAATCTCCAAGGCAAAACTGATTGAACGGAAGCAAACGAAAGAGAAGTTCCCATATCGGGGATGGACAGAACCTGCTTCAGTAAAACGTGGTTTAGTGAAAACGATCTCGGGCCCAAACCTGGCGGGCGCAAACCTGGAAAATAACGGCCGCGGCGCCTTCTCGAGAACTGAAAACGGACAATTCACCAATCGACGTGTCAGGGTGGAGCTTCTGTCCACCCCAGATCATACCCGAATGCACGCATCGCCGACACCAGCCCATCACGCTCAGTCACTCACGGGCCCCACGCAGTCTTGCGTGTGTGGGCAAAAGCTCATGCTCAAACAGTCGCGGGCAAGAATAGGTACGCCAGCGGATCCGGGCAGGGAGAGGAAAAAGAAAGGGAATCAGAAGGACAAAGAGAACCGACAACTCTTATGCAGGAGCCCAAACGATCTTGGGAACAAGACATTGACGAGAGGCCTCCCAGATGGGGTCCGAGCAGATGGGGTCGGAGGATCGCACCCTGCCCTCAATAAATCGCCGATTCATTGGCCGATGCATCGGCAACGTCGGGAATGCATCGGAGCCATCAGCGTGGAGATCATCGGGCTCCGCATCGAGTTGCATCGCCTATACATCGGCGATGCGGGGCCATCCGCCGACCATCTCCGCTCGGAACCCCTGTGGGAGGCCTACACTGGCTTCCCCATGGTGGGCTTGTTTTCCACCACCATCACCAGAAGTAGGAGGGGGAGGGGGTCCTCCTCCTCCTCCTCCTCCTCCTCCTCCGCCTCCTCCTCCTCCTCCTCCTCCTCCTCCTATTCGTCCTCCTCCTCATCCTCTTCGTCCTCCTCCTCCTCCTCCTCCTCCTCCTCCTCCTCCTTCCCCCCTCCAACCTATGGTTGCGGTGGAACGCAAGCCCGTGACCCCACCCCGAGCCCAAAGTGGTTCTCGGTGGCGCGTGGCCGGGCCCTACTTGACAGGCGGCGGCGGGGAGCAGCCGAGGGGGAGCCTGGGCGCGGGGTCCTTCGGGGCCCAGAAGTCCAGGGCACCGCCCTCCTGGCGGTCCGCGCGAGACATCGCCGTCGCCATGGGTCGCCATCATCGTCGTCCTCGACGTCGTCGTCATCGTCGATCCGTCCGTCCGTCCGTGCGTCCGTCCGTCTGTGCTGTCGTCGTCGTGGAAGAACGTCATCGTCGTCGTCGTTGTCGTAGTCAGCGATGTCATCGTCCTCGTTATCGTCAACCTCGTCGTCGCCGTCGTCCGTGTTTTCGTCCGTCCGTCCGTCCGTCCGTCCGTGCTGTCGCCGTCGTCGATGAACGTCATCGTCGTCGTCGTCGTCGTAGTCAGCGATGGCATCGTCCTCGTCATCATCAACCATCAACCTCGTCATCGTCGTCGTCGATCGTTGTTGTCGTGGTCTTTTTCCGTCCGTCATCGTCGCCGTCGCAGTGGTCGTCGTCGTCTTCGCCGCCACCGACGTCGCGTCAAGTCGCGAGAAACTTCAGAACCCTCCGAATCTACAGATCTGGAAACATCCCAGAAACGAATCTCGGGATACCTGAAACAGCATCCGGGAACCTCTGCTTCACCCTTCCTCCGCATCCTCCTCCTCCTCTCCAGCGCCCTCCCCTTCACCATCGTCCCCGTCGTCGCCTTACCGTCGTCGCCGCCGCCTGATCCATTATCGCCGTCTCCGTCCTCGTGTGTACTCGTCTTCCTCGTGGCCCGTTCAAGCACGTCGTTTCGTCGCACATACTCCCGAGGCCGGGGAAGTGGAGGGGGAGGAGGCGGAGGAGGAGCGGGAGAAGGGGGAGGAGGAGGAGGAGGAGGAGGAGGAGGAGGAGGAGGAGGAGGAGGAGGAGGAGGAGGAGGAGGAGGAGGAGAGAGGAGGAGGAGGAGGAGGAGGAGGAGGAGGAGGAGGAGGAGGAGGAGGAGGAGGAGGAGGAGGGGAGAGAGAGAGGAGGAGGAGGAGGAGGAGGAGGAGGGAGGAGGAGGAGGAGGAGGAGGAGGAGGAGGAGGAGGAGGAGGAGGAGGAGGAGGAGAAGGAGAAGGAGGAGGAGGAGGAGGAGGAGGAGGAGGAGGAGGAGGAGGCGGAGGGGGGGGACACCTACCTGCACGTCCGAGCGCGCCGAGAAAGGGTAACTGGCAGGCGAAAGCGAGTGGAAAAGGCGAGCACGCCCAACTCGACGACACTAGCGAAGGCGAATCGAGTAAAGCCGAAACGGGAGAGGCACCAGGGAGCCCGAACAAGCGAGACGAACACTGCCGAGTCCGGCGAACCACCCGCTGGACCAACGAGTGACACAGCAACAGAAGAAAATCTGGCTCCGAAGGGCGGCGGAGGAGCTACAACGACAGCTCCTACAAGGAAGCGGCACAGGCGAAACCGCCGCAACATTTCTTGTCTGGCGTAGCGCCGGCCGAGTAGATGGGAGGTCTGGGAGTCCGAGACCGCGTCGTCCGACGCGGGAAAAGGAAGCCTGCACCTGACACCTCGCTCGCAAGAGCGCACGCTCGAGATCGCCCAGACAAAAGGTTCTCCCAGGAAGCGGCCAAGGCGTCCCAAGAGTCGCTGGCAGCCCGCCTGCGCGCGCGGCCACCAGCACAGGGGGCGGAGACTTGCGACGAGAAGGAGGAGGAGGAGGAGGAAGAGGAGGAGGAGGAGGAGAAGGAAAAAGAGGATGGGATGAGGAGAGGAGGAGGAGGAGGAGGAGGAGGAGGAGAAGGAGGGAGGAGGAGGAGAAGGAGGAGGAGGAGGAGGAGGAGGAAGAGGAGGAGGAGGAGGAGGAGGAGGAGGAGGAGGCGTGCGCAACTCCCACCCTTCCCCCCACCGCCCCCGACCTCCCCCCCTCCGCCGAGGCGGGGAGCAGCGGACACGCCCCGCCCCAACCTGCCACATCACAGGGCTAAGCCGACAGGAGGAGGAGGAGGTCAAATGGAAAATACAGACGACTAGTTGCAGTGATGGCCATCACGAGGACAACCACGATGATGCTCACCTGCAGGAGGTACGCAGGCACCAGCAGGACGACACTCGCGGACACTTCGCTACGAAACCCACGGGCACCTCCACTACGATGCACAACACGATGATGTGGCTCATCCGCTCCAGATTGAGAAAATGCACAGTACTTCCAGCACCAAGGCGACGTCCGACTCCAGGCTGCCCCACCGCAACTCCAGGAAGAGCCCCAAGAACGCCCAACACCCAAGAGGGCAGGTCCACGGCTGCCCGCGATCGCCGGGTAGGCGAGCACGACCCTCAGCGCGGCGGAGCCCATGACCACCATCGGCAAGAAGATGCCCATGCCCATGCTGCCCGCGATCGCCGCGACGATTGATGGGCCTGTTTTCCACCACCACCACCATCATACGTTGGAGGTGGGAAGGAGGAGGAGGATGAGGATGAGGATGAGGATTAGGATGAGGAGGAGGAGGAGGAGGAGGAGGAGGAGGAGGGAGGAAGAGGAGGACCCCCTCCCCCTCCAACTTATGGTGGTGGTGGTGGTGGAAAATAAGCCCATCAGCGATGCAATCCAGAGCCGCCGAGCCGCCACAACATGTCGACGAAAACGCTCATTACCACCGCGAGGTCGGCCCCGTCCAGGTCCAGGTCCAGGACCAGGAGGCGCAGGTCCAGGACCAGGAGGCACAGGCATCGGGACGCACGCGAGCACCACACCACAACGCCACCGAAGCACGGCTCCATCGGGTCCATGGCGACGCACCACATGACGACGAGGCTCTTCCACTCCGTGTAGCCGATGCACATCAACTCCATCAGCAACAGAATGGCGATCCGCTCCAAGCTGCAGCACGAGAACTTTAGCAAGATGCTAGGAAGGATCTACACCACCACCACGCACTTCGCTAACGTCAGCGGCACGGCAACAGCACGAAGGGCACCCTCCGCATCTGCTGCGACTGCTTCATCCGCATCAGCCCGATGGACTTCATCGGCGTGGGCAACAGCACGGGCACGGCCATGGACTCGATGAGCATCGGCACGAAAACCCCCAACTGAAGCAGCAGCGTCAACTCTACAATCGGCGGCACGATTATCTCTGCCAGCCCAGGCACCTTCCACCTCGGCAGGCTCGTGCATTTCGTCCGCAGCGGCACAAAGATCGCTGCCAGCAAATGCGGCAGCATCGCCATCCGCAGCGGCCCGAAGATCCCCATCCTGCGGGACGGCGCCAGCGCGGCCATACTGCCGATCGTACGCGAAATCCGAAGTCGGCGGTGCTCTTCGAAAGGCTGCTGCTGTCGTCCGCAGCGGAAGCGTCAGCCCGTACAGCATCAGCGGCACGAGGAACGAACCTGGCAGATTGGCAGCGAAGAGGCGTGCGCACGACTGCCTGCACAATGGCCTGGAGAACTCCCTCATCAAGGTCACCTCTGGCAGCGGCAAGACCGCGTGCCGCACCATCAGCGGCACGAATGTCTCCACTGCAGCCGACGGTGTCGACGACCTGGCCGACTTGCCGACGCGTGCAGATGGGCCACCGAGCCTACGCGCGCCGAGGGGGCCTTGGGAGACGGCCGCATCAGGTCGCGTATCCCACAGGCCGCCACCCGGGCGTGCCTCACAGCCACGCGGCGCACCCGCTGCCAGCGGCACCAAGCCGAGGTCGCACCCTCGGGGCGACACAGCTGCTTCATGATTGCACTAAGGGCCCGCGCCTGGGGCGCCTGGCGCCTGGGGTGCGCCCCAGGCGTGGGCCCTTAGTGCAATCATGAAGCGCCCCAGGCGCCTGGGGTGGCCGCCGAGCGTAGCCTGGGGTGGCCGTGTCGCCTGGACGGTGCTCCAGATGGCCCGGCGCCTCTGAGCGAAAAGAGGATGGAGGAAGGGAGGAGGGAAGGAGGAGGAGGCGGGAGGAGGAGAGAGGAGGAGGAGGAGGAGGAGGAGGAGGAGGAGGAGGAGGGAGGAGGAGGAGGAGGAGGAGGAGGAGGAGGAGGAGGAGGGGGGGAGGGGGAGGAGGAGGAGGGGGGGGAGGAGAAAGGGGGAGGAGGAGACGGGAAGGGGAGGATGGGGGGGGGGAGGGCGGACGGGGATGGAACAGGGGAGGGGAGGGAAGGGGTAGGGGTAGCGCCACCTCCAGGACGCAGCGAGGGCGCCGTGGCGCGGAGAATTCGGAAGGAAGCCTGGGAGATCTCTGGCCAACCTGGGAGAATCGGGGCGAACCTTGGGAGAACTGTGGGATGAGCCTTCGGGCTGAATTCGGACTGAAACTTCGACATGGGGCAGCGCGGCATGGACTTCCGCTTTGGTCTGGGGGCGCAAGAGAGGCCAGTCGCCGGTCAAGCGATGGGAGTGATATCCCAGAGGCGGGCAGAGGCAACGCAGCGTAAACATGAAACAGGAAGGATGGGGGAGAAGCGCCACAAGGAGACGCAGACAGAGAGCAGGCACGAGACACACAGGAGGAACGTGAGGAGGTGCGGAGAAGGTCCCCGGAGGTCTGAGCAGAACCCCAAAGGCCTCTGTGGATGTCTGCCATGGGGTCTCCTGAGGCCTCCGGGGGCCTGCACATCTCCTGGGGCCCCAAGCGCGGCCGCCAATCTTTTGGAGGGATCGATCCCAGGCCCTCGAACCACTGGGAAGAGGGCCCTCTGGACGCCGCCCCCGACGCCGTTGCGCCGTGGCCGCCGCCGCCGCCTTCTGCTTGTGTTGCCCTTCCTGGCAGGTCGCAGGGTTGAGGGGAAGCAGTGGGCGGAGGAGGCCCCGAGTGGACGACACCGGCCCGAAACGCCCCTCGCCCCCCGAGGGCTGGAGGACCGAGGGACTCGATTGAGCAGGGACCGACCGTCCCGGCATTCCTATAGTCCTACCACGAAATGTTCTTACAACCCAAAAATGTTCTAAGAACAAAAACAATGTTCTTAGACAATTCGCCCGATATGTTAAAACAAGACAGACTCCGCCACAAATGCTCTAAGAGCATTTCGTGGGAACCACAAAAGGTTCTTAGAACATTGCTTGGTAGGGCTATAGGCGAGCCGGGACGCTTCGCCACTGCTTGAACCAAGGGACCCCAGGGCCAGAGCCCTCCTGGCACGTCGCGAGGAACAGCTGCTTGTCAAACGAGAAGCAGCAGCGCATGATGGCCCGGCCAGGCGTCTCGACCACCTGCGCTTGGCGGTCGCGCTGCGGTCGCCGTCGTCGCGGTCGGCGCTCGCCGTCGCCGTTGACATCGCGCTGCCGCTGCCATCGCCGCCGTCGTCGCCGTCGTCGTCTTCGTCGTCGTCGATCGTCGGCGACGAGGTCGCTCGTCGACGACGTGGTCGCTCGTCGCTGGCGTCGTTCGTCCTCGCTCGGCGGCCTCGCTCTTCGCCCCCCCCTCCTTTCTGCACGTCGAGCGGGGGAGGCCGAACGAGGATGCGGAGGACTAGAGGAGAAGAGGGAGACATGACTACATACCAGGCCACCGCGAACCCAACCCGAAGACCACCCGCACTTCGGGGGGGGAGTATGGGTTCCGCACGTGTTGTTGCTTCTGTTCCTGACACCCCCCCACCGGGAACGGAGGCCAGATTGAGGCCTTCGGGCTGGGTCGAGACGATTTCGTAGGCGGTGACGAGGGGGAGGGCAGGCAGGAGCTGGGCCCAAAACCCGCCCGAGCGTCCGTCCCGCCCTGGGGGGCGCCGCTCGGCGCGGCAGGACCTGGAGGAGGGAGGATGAGGATGAGGATGAGGATGAGGATGAGGATGAGGATGAGGATGAGGATGAGGATGAGGATGATGATGATGATGATGATGATGATGATGATGATGATGATGATGATGATGATGATGATGATGATGAGAGGAGGAGGAGAGGAGGAGGAGGAGGAGGCGGAGGAGGAGTTGGAGGAGGGGAGGAGGATGAGGAGGCGGAGGAGGAGGAGGAGGAGGAGGAGGAGGAGGAGGAGGAGGAGGGGAAAGGGGATGAGGAGGAGGAGAAGGACGAGGCTCAGGGCCCCTGCGCACAGCTACTCGGGCTCTGCCCCTGAAAAGCGTGCTGCACCGCGCACTGCTGCGAGACGGGAGGAGGGGCACGCGGAGCCAGGCACGAAAAGGGGACGGGGAGGATAATGAAGAGGGGGGAGGGGAGGGCGAGGAAGAAGAGGGCGAGCAGGAGGAGGAGGAGGCGGAGGAAGAGAAGGAAGGGGAGGAGAAGGAAGAGGGAGAGGGGAGGGCGAGGAGGGCGAGGAGGAAGAGGAGGGCGAGGAAGAGGAAGAGGAGGAACAGGAGGGCGAGGAGGAAAAAGAGGAGCGGGGGGGGGGGATAACGGGGGGGGAGAACCAAACAGAGAATGCTTCGCCTCGGGAGGGATCCTAGCATTCTGCCGCTTCTGGGGGCCACGGGGGGGAGGGGCCCACCCCGCTACGGTTACGTCGGGCCTGTACCCCTGCAGGCGGATGCTGGGCGTTAAAAGAATACGCTCCAAATGCTCAAGAATACCCGGAACAGGGGTCAAACAATCGTTCCCCGACTGTTTTTCCCAACCATCCAGTGGTGCTGGATCCTCGCTTTGAACAGACAGCGCCCCGCGTCCCTCTTTCCTTCCTCCCGCTGCCTCCTCCCCCTCCTCCTTCCTCCCTCCTCCCACCATCATCATCGTCATCATCTCCCGCACACCCATGTCGACACACCCCGCACACGCTTCGTGGCCCCATAAGGAAGTCCACCGAAGGTCCCCGTGGGTGTGCCCGCATGCGTCCCGCACACGCATGTCGGCACACCCCTCACACGCTTCGTGGCCCCATAAGGAGCTCCACCGAAGGCCCCCGTGGGTGTACCCGCACGCGTCCCGCACACCCATTTCGGCACACCCCTCAAACGCTTCGTGGCCCCATCGGGAGCTCCACCGAAAGTCCCAGTGGGTGTGCCCGCATGCGTCCCGCACACCCATGTCGGCACACCCTTCACACGTGTCGTGGCCCCACAGGGAGCTCCACCGAAGGTCCCAGTGGGTGTGTGCGCATGCGTCCCGCACACCCATTTCGGCACACCCCTCACACGCTTCGTGGCCCCATAGGGAGCTCCACCGGTCCCAGTGGGTGTGCCCGCATGCGTCCCGCACACCCATGTCGGCACACCCCTCACACGTTTCGTGGCCCCATATGGAGCCCCACCGACGGTCCCAGTGGGTGTGCCCGCATGCGTCCCGCAACCCATGTCGGCACACCCTTCACACGTGTCGTGGCCCCATACGGAGCTCCACCGAAGGTCCCAGTGGGTGTGCCCGCATGCGTCCCGCACGCGATTTCGGCACACCCCTCACACGCTTCGTGGCCCCATAAGGAGCTCCACCGAAGGTCCCAGTGGGTGTGCCCGCATGCGTCCCGCACACCCATTTCGGCACACCCCTCACACGCTTCGTGGCCCCATAGGGAGCTCCACCGAAGGTCCCAGTGGGTGTGCCCGCCTGCGTCCCGCACACCCATTTCGGCACACCCCTCACACGCTTCGTGGCCCCATAGGGAGCTCCACCGAAGGTCTCAATGGGTGTGCCCGCATGCGTCCCGCGCACCCATGTCGGCACACCCCTCACACGTTTCGTGGCCCCATAGGAAGCTCCACCGAGGGTCCCAATGGGTGTGCCCGCATGCGCCCCGCACACCCATTTCGGCACACCCCTCGCGCGTTCCGTGGCCCCAAAAGCCATCCTTCTGTCCTGTGGACTCTCGACCTGGGCCGTCGGTTGCCCGGCGCATTGCTCCCTCGGCCGACGTCGCCCAGGCGTGATCCTGGACTGCGGCCGCCACGCGGTCGGGAACGGCAAAATGAGGACGACGACTGGTGGCTGGAGCTCTACGCGCTGCTCTCGCGCGCCACGCGCCACGAGGACCTCCTGCTCATGCGGGCGCCGCGCATCGAGTACTTCCTGGCCGGGTCGCCGGAGGGTTTGCGCAAGCAGCTGGAGCAGTTTTCGGCGCGCACGAAGCGGTGCAGGAGGGAAGCCACGGCCCTCGCCAGTGCGCGTGGTTTCACAGAGTTTTTCCGCGAGGCCTGACCTGATGAGCGGCCCGCCACAGCCGCGCCTTCTATCGGTTGTCCAACTGGTAGGCCTCGCGCCGCGGACGCCCTGCGCGCGTCGCTGGCGCCCTCTCGGGGCGATCAGCGCGCGTCGCGCGAACTCCGCGCTGCGCTCTGTCCAGCGCCTCGCTCGCCCGTCGTCGCTCCGCCCGGCGGCCAGAGCCATGCGCGCTATCAGTTAACCAGCAAGCAATCTCTGTTCCACACAGCGTACGAACCGTGCGCGTCACTGTGACCCTTTCGGGGCGACCTCCGCGCGTCGCGAAGGCTCCGCCTTGCGCTGCGCCCGCAGCCTTGGATTTTGGAGCGCGCGGGCAAAAGGAAAATGAAAAAGGAGGGGAGGAAACGGGCGCGATCCTCGTGGGGCGTGCCGACATGGGCGTCGCGGCGCGCGGGCGCTGCCGTCGGGGTTCCCAGGAAAGCCCTTTGCAGAGTCTACGCCGCACAATTCGGCACACCTTCATACGGCCCGTGGCCCCATAGGGAGCGCAACCGAAGAAAATATTCACAATTGCGGTATTCACAACTGCATATGGTTCGGTCCTTCGCCAGGATAGTTGTTACTATTTTTGAGTTTCCTCCGGTAGGGGGACAGGCCCGGGACAGGCCCGACTTAAGCGCTAATGGGGGCACCGAGGGCCCCAGGCAAAGCGGCAGCGTCTAGAAGTGACACGCGACGAGGACGAGGACGCCGCGGCCTCGATCTGCTCAAAACTCTCCAGGTAGCCCCGCGTGACCGGCACCCACAGCGCGCAGGTCCTGCGCGGGAGGGCACCGCTCGGTGGCTCAGAGATGGGGTCCTGGAGGAGCAGGAGGAGGAGGAGGAGGAGGAGGAGGAGGACGAGGAGGAGGGGGAGGAGGAGGAGGAGGGGAGTGGTGGGGTCCTGAATAAAAGGCAGAAACACACACCCCGATCAGAACCGCCCCGAAACGCGAAGCCGTTTGGTCAGCGCCCCCACTGAAGGAATCCAACAGGGCTGGGCTGTTCAATAGAAACGCCCAGGGCCGTTCCGCAACCGCCAACTGTCCGGTCGGGGTGGTTTTCCCTCCCCGGATCGGGAGGCTCGCCAGGCGAGCCCGAGCGCGGAGCGAGCGGCGCGGGCGAGGGGTCCAAGGTGCGGGTTCACACCGGTTTCGGGTACCTCTCCTTTGACGAAGGATGGAGAGGGGCCCATGGGTTATGTTGCTCCCATCGTACTCAAGGACCAAATCCCAGAAAGAATTTCGAGCACCCAGGAAAGTGTCGAAAGAGTGTCGAAACAGTGTCGGACGAGTGTCTCCCAGGGCCCGACACGTGAAAACCCTCGAGTTTGGGGGTACTTCCTTCTGGTGCTCAAAATTCTTTCTGGTGGTCAAGGCTAAAGTAGGTTGGAACATCATAATCCAAGGGGCGGGTTCACATGGTTTCAAGCACCTCTCCCCCAGGACCCCCACCCCTCGGAACCCCATCTTTGCACCACTAAACCCGTGCGCACGCGCACGCGCGCGGTCGCGGCCGCCCCTGGCACGCGGCGCCAGGGGCGGCGCCCTGGCTGGCCCCGCCTCCTCCTTCGCCTCCTCCGCATCCCTTCTCCTCCTCCTCCTCCTCCTCCTCCTCCTCCTCCTCCTCCTCCTCCTCCTCCTCCTCCTCCTCCTCCCCTCCTCCTCCTCCTGCTCCTCCTCCTCCTCCTCCTCCTTCGCCTCTTCCGCCTCCTCCTCGTCCGCCTCGCGCTCCTCGTCCGACCTGGAATCGGACTTGAGCCTTGGGTCGGCAAGCAAACAGATCCCGCACGGCCGCAGGGCCGGTCCTGCACAGGACACGGGAGGGAAAAAAAAAGCATGCACAGATTTCCTGATGCACACAGCCACACACGCACCCACACAACAACACGCACCACACAGCCACACACACACACACACACACACACACACCTTGGGTCGGACCAGAGTCGAAACAGGGCCTTTTACGCGGGACCCGGCAAGGTCCTCAGAGCGAGCATCCGAGGGGCCCGAGCAGAGCAAGAAGAGCTGCGCTGGCAGAAACGGTCGGGCCTCCGCGCGGATGTCTTGGATCTGCGCTGGACCCCCCTCCCCAGCTCGCAGAGCGCGCCAGGGGCGGCGCCGGTGACCTCCAAACGTTGACGTGCCATGCCCTCTAGGGGTGAAGGGAAGCAAGGAAGGGGAAGGGAAGGACCTCCGAAAGTTGTTCATACCCTCTAGGGAAGGAGGAACGAAAGGAAGAAGACGGGACGGGCCTCCGAAAATTGTTGCTTCTGCCCTCTACGGATGGAGGGAAGGAGGGAATGGGCGCTTGCACACGCGCTGGGGGGGGGGTTAGGGAGGGACGGCGCCGAGGCCGGCCAGCGAGGGGGGGGGACGGAGGGAAGGGAGGGAGGGGGACGCTTGCACCTCGACGACGACGACGACAACGATAACCTCGACGGCGGCGACGGCGTCGACGTTGCTTCGGAGCTATTCGGGTTCCTTGCCACGTGAGCTTGCTGGCGGGAAAGGGCCTCGGGGGTGCGTCGGGGGGGTACAGTCAAGACGCATAACAAGGATGCGCGGTTAAGATGCAGGGGCCTTGGGGAGCCATTCTGGCGCTTTCGATCGGGCCTGGCCAGCGAAAGTCGCCAAGGATGGGCCGAAGTGGGCAAGGGTGCAATGGTAGCCCTGGCAAGTTGCTCGTACTCACTGTGCGCCCTAACTGTATGAGGTGCGGCTGGGTGCAGGCGGGGCTACGAAACACGTGACGGGCGTGCCAACAGGGGTGCGGGTGCCAACGTGCGGGCTGCCACTGGGGCACTGGGTGGAGCTCCCCATGGGACCACGAAACGTGTGAGGGGTGCGCTGGAATCGGGAGGTGGGACATGCGGGCGCTGCTGCTGGGGCCATCGGCGGAGTATGGAGTAACGAAGCGTGTGAGTTGTGCGCCGAAATGCGCGGTGGAACCGCATGCGGGCGCTGCCACTGAGGCCTTCTGTGGAGATCCTTATGGTGCCACGGTGCGTGAGAGGTGCGCGGGGATGGAAAGTGGAACCGCATGCGGGCGCTGCCACTGGGTCTTTCGGTGGAGCTCCTCATGGGGCCGCGAAACGTGTGAGGAGTGCGCGGAAATGAGGGTGGAACCGCACGCGAACGCTGCCACTATAAGGCCTTCGGCGGAGCCCCCCATGGAGCAACGGAACATCTGAGAGTGCGCCGAAATGGGCGATGGCACCGCACTCGGGCGCTGCGGTCTTCGGTGGAGCTCCCTATTGGGCCACGAAGCGTGTGAGTGCGCCGAGAACCGCATGCGGGCGCTGCCACTGGGGCCTCCGGTGGAGATCCTCAGCAGGACACCAAACGTGCGAGCGGTCCACCGAAAGAGGGAGTGGATCCACATGCGGGCGCTGCCACCGGGGCCTTGGTGGATGGCCCGTGTGGGGCGAAGACATTGGTGAGTGGTGCGCCGAAATGGGCGGTGGAACCGCATGCGGGCGCTGCCACTGGGGCCTTCAGAGGAGCTCCCTTACGAGGCCACGAAACGTGAAAAGGGGTGTGCGGGAATAGGAGAGTGGCACCGCATGCGGGCGCTGCCAGTGGCACTGGGGCCTTCAGTGGCGCTCCCCATGGAGCCACGAAGCGTGCTGGAGCTGCCGAACGGACATGCGGAGGGCAGAAACAAGGATGGGAGGAGGAGGGAGGAAGGGGAGGAGAAGAGGAGAGGAGAGGACGCGGGAGGATGTCTCTTCTGAGGGGCAACGATAGGGGGGAACTGGCATAGGGGGTATGCATCGACCTGGAATCGGCGATGCATCGCCGGATAGATCGGCGAAAGGCCTCCGATAGTGAATGCGCACCTTCCTGGGCAGGTTGGGGCTCTCGGGCCCCTCTCGGGGATCAATGGGCGATTGGGGTTGACTCATCCCCCCCTATGCTCAGGTCGGGCATGTCCCCCGACTTAACCCTATGCCTGTCTCCCCCTATCTTTGCCCCTGAACTTCAAAGCGGGGATCCGACACCACCAGATGGTCGGGACAAACGCTGCAGAAGTACAGGGCGCTCGAAGAGAAGGTCGCACCGCCCTCTGGCGCCCCCCGAAAGCCGCTGTCGTATCGTCGTCGTCGTCGTCGTCGCTGTCGCCGCCGCCGTCGTTATCGTCGCCGCCGCCGCCGCCGTCGTCGTCGTCGTCGACGTCGTCCTCGTCGTCGTCGTCGTCGTCGTCGTCGCCGTCGCCGTCGCCGTCGCCGTCGCCGTCGCCGTCGTCGTCGTCGTCGTGGTCGTCGTCGTGGTCGTCTACTTTTCTCGTCGTCGACGTCGACGTCGTCGTCGTTGGCGGCGTCCCGTGGAGCGTCGCAGTGGCCAGCAGAACGAGCTGCGGCGCGAAGGCGACGTCGGTGGTCTCGCACTCGGGGCCGGTGCCGTCCACCCAAAGCTCCTCGGGGCCGGCGGGGAGTGCCCGGCTTCGCTTCGGGGGCTCCCGAGTTATGGCCTACGCATTGACGTAAGAAGAGGGGGCATGACATCTGAGGAGATCCCATTGCCCCAGCCATGATATGATTGACCTGTTTTCCACCACCACCACCAGAAGTTGGAGGGGCGAGGGGGTCCTCCTCCCTCCTCCCCCTCGTCTCCTCTCTCCTCTCCATCCTCCACCTCCTTCCACACTCCAACTTATGGTGGTGGTGGTGGAAAACAGGCCCATCATATCACCCCGTTCCAGTCATCACCCCCCTCTTGCACGCCCCCGATCTCCACGCCGGGCGCTTTCGCCAGGTCTCGGGGTCTGAGACCATCACAGATCGATCGGGCCTGAAAACTGCAGCAGAGGATGGGCGAAGAAAGGGAACGGGTCTTTCGCATGACGGCATGGCGTCCTTGCGCCGCAGCTTACGCGGGTCGCCAGCGCGGCACGCAGCACTGGAAACGAGGGCGCGCACGCGCGACCATAAGCGGGCAGCTTTCGCGCCAATGCCTGCGTTGGCGCCCCCATTCTTCTGCGTCGCTCAGATGGGCTCTTGGGCTTCCGTCGTGTTTTTTCCCAACCATCCTGTGGTGTTGGGTCCTCGTTTTGAAGAGACAGCGCCCCGCGTTCCTTCCTTCCCGCTGCCCCCTCCCTCCTCCCATCTTCATCATCATCGTCATCACCCATTTCGGCACACCCCTCACACGTTTCGTGGCCCCATAGGGAGCTCCACCGAAGGTCCCAGTGGGTGTGCCCGCATGCGTCCCGCACACCCATTTCGGCACACCCCTCACACGTTTCGTGGCCCCATAGGGAGCTCCACCGAAGGTCCCAGTGGGTGTGCCCGCATGCGTCCCGCACACCCATTTCGGCACACCCCTCACACGTTTCGTGGCCCCATAGGGAGCTCCACCGAAGGTCCCAGTGGGTGTGCCCGCATGCGTCCCGCACACCCATTTCGGCACACCCCTCACACGTTTCGTGGCCCCATAGGGAGCTCCACCGAAGGTCCCAGTGGGTGTGCCCGCATGCGTCCCGCACACCCATTTCGGCACACCCCTCACACGTTTCGTGGCCCCATAGGGAGCTCCACCGAAGGTCCCAGTGGGTGTGCCCGCATGCGTCCCGCACACCCATTTCGGCACACCCCTCACACGTTTCGTGCCCCATAGGGAGCTCCACCGAAGGTCCCAGTGGGTGTGCCCGCATGCGTCCCGCACACCCATGTCGGTACACCCTTCACACGTTTCGTGGCCCCATAGGGAGCTCCACCGAAGGTCCCAGTGGGTGTGCCCGCATGCGTCCCGCACACCCATTTCGGCACACCCCTCACACGTTTCGTGGCCCCATAGGGAGCTCCACCGAAGGTCCCAGTGGGTGTGCCCGCATGCGTCCCGCACACTCATTTTGGCACACCCCTCACACGTTTCGTGGCCCCATAGGGAGCTCCACCGAAGGTCCCAGTGGGTGTGCCCGCATGCGTCCCGCACACCCATTTCGGCACACCCCTCACACGTTTCGTGGCCCCATAGGGAGCTCCACCGAAGGTCCCAGTGGGTGTGCCCGCATGCGTCCCGCACACCCATTTCGGCACACCCTTCACACACGTTTCGTGGCCCCATAGGAGCTCCACCGAAGGTCCCAGTGGGTGTGCCCGCATGCGTCCCGCACACTCATTTTGGCACACCCCTCACACGTTTCGTGGCCCCATAGGGAGCTCCACCGAAGGTCCCAGTGGGTGTGCCCGCATGCGTCCCGCACACCCATTTCGGCACACCCCTCACACGTTCCGTGGCCCCATAGGGAGCTCCACCGAAGGTCCCAGTGGGTGTGCCCGCATGCGTCCCGTCGTCTCTCTGCCCAGCGGCAAGAGCCTTGCCCGCTATCAGCCAGCCAGCTAGCTCTTTTTGCTCCGCGCAGTGGACGACCCGCGCGCGTCGCTGGGACCCCTCCGGGGCGACCTGCGCGCGTCGCGGGGACTCCGCGCTGCGCTGCGCCCGCAACCTTGGACTTTTGAGTGCGCGGGCAAAGAGGGAGTAAAGGAAGGGGAGGAAGCGGGCGCGATCCTCGCCGGTGGGCGCGCCGACATTGGCGTCGCGGCGCGCGGGCGATGCCGTCGGGGAGTCCCGGGGAAGCTCCTTGCGGCGGCCACGCCCAGCGTCACGAGTACTCAGAGGCAGACATTGTCAAACTATTGACATTCATACACAATTGCGCCACGCTTTGTCATATTCGCATTCATGCACGTAGACTCGTTCGCACGCAGATTCATTCACAGTCAGACGCACGCGCGCAGATTCACCCGCGCTCAGTCTCCCTACGTACTCAGATCAATCGTTTTCGTTCGCGTTGTGTACCACGCCACTCATGTCGGCACACCCCTAGCACGGTTCGTTGCCTCATAGGGATCGCCACCGAAAAAGTGAATCACTATTGCGGTACTCACACCTGTATATGGTTGGGTCCCTCGTCAGGCTAATTTTTTTTTTCGCGACTTCAGATCCTTGCTACAACGTCGGTTCACAGGCTTCGGGGATAACGGAAAGAGCGAGGTACGAGTGACGACGTTCTTGTGTGGGGCGAAGCCCTTAAGGGGGGGAGGGGTCCAGGTGGGGGCGCAGGGCGTGGGAATGGGCGTTACTGGCAGTTTTCGGGTTATCCCTCGGGGTTTTGCATGTTTTTGCATTCCCCCCCAAGACGGCCCGACAGCGCTCCAAGAGAGAGCCCAAGACCGCCCAAGAGGTCCCCAAGAGGCGCTCAAGGGGCGTCCCAAGAGGGCCCCAAGAGGCCAAAATCATTGATTTTCCGAAGGGGGAAGCTTATTTCTAGCATATACGACTTTTCGGCTTTCACGGCGTTGACGACGGCCCAAGAGGCCCCCGAGACCGCCCCAAGACGGCCAAACAGGCCCCCAAGAGGCCCCCAAAACGGCCCAAGAGGGCCCCAAGACGGTCCAAGACAGACAGACACAGACAGGCCCGCACTCCAGCCCTTTGGGGGCGGTCCTCTAAGAGGGCAGGCGCATGGGACACGCGGTCCCCCGCATTGGGAGAGACTACTGGGTTGTCGCTGCATTGACAGATTTGGGAAAACGTAAGGCAAATACACCAGGCTCAGAAACTACCTCGTCGCAAACCCATCCTCTAACTCATTCCACGCATCGTGTGATAGTGCATAACTTTGCCACGAAGTGTAAACACCTTGCGTGTAGATGTACTCGCGGACGTCGTCATCCCAGCGTCTCTTCGGTCTGCCGGCCGCACGACGCGCTGATATAGAAGTCAACGCCGGATCCCAGTACATCGCTGGCGAAGCCCAACGGTCCGCATCCATGCTTGCCAGTCGAAAAGCCCATCGCCACTTGCGTCGTCTCTGCTGGCGTACCCATGGCTCCATACGTGCTGTCTGCAGGTGTTCCTCTGTTGCCCTCGTCGCTCTTCGGATGAAATCGGCCCAAGGCTCCAGACGCGTACTTTCCGAAACGCCCGATGATGTATAGTCCTGCTGGCTCTGGGTTGCTGTCCACGTCGGCACAAACAACATCAACATTCTCCATGCCTTCCGTTTAAATTGTTTTCGCTTTGCTCCCAACGTATGCCTGAGCAGCCTCCGTTGTACACATGTGATGTGGTGCTCCACGTCGCGGGTCATAGGCCACACTTCGTTTCCATACAGTAGCGTTGGTGCCACCGTGCTGTTAAGCAGCCGGATACGATCCTTGAGAGGATACGATCGGCTGGTCAGTTATTGCTTATGTAAACCATATGCTGCCCATGCTTTGCGGATTCTGTTGTTGAGCTCAAATTCAAAAGGCTTGCCGCAAGATACGGGACAACCTAAATATTTGGTAAATGAAGTCCTTTGAATGATGTCAATTTCCAAACCATTTACGTGTACCGGGCCCGCCGCTTGTATCCCAGACTTCCTGCTCGCATTTGTGAATAGATTTGTTTTGCCAGGGTGTAAAGATGAGCCCGCGTTGGCGGTAGATCTCTGCATGTCGGACAGCATTTGCTTGATTTGGTACAATGTGGGCGCCACGGCGAGTACGTCATCTGCGAAACGCAAATTTGTGAGCATGTCGTTGTTCAGCGGGTCCAGTCGTAAGCCGTAGCGTTTTCTATACCACTCTTTTTTTGCATGGCCGGAGACAGTGTTCAAGTAAAGCGTTTAATAACAAATAAGATAAGGGATCGACCTGCTTTGTCCCACGTTGTATATTGAACTCGTCGCTGAGCACGTCTGTCCGCGCACGCCCACGCTGATCCGCACGCAGAGAGCGAAGCAGCTGAATATACGGTTCCGGAACACCCTGGCCACGGAGCGTTTCCCACAAAGAAGAGACCCGAAAGACCGCCCCTCAACGGCCCAAAAGGGTCCCAAGAGGCACCCAAAACGGCCAAAGAGGGCGCCAAGACGGCCCAAGAGGCGCCCAAGACGGCCCAAGAGGGCCCCAAAACGGCCCCAAGAGGGGGACCACGAACCGACGAGTCTACCCTTTCGCCCCAAGCAGCTCCCAGGCCCCCAGACCCCCCCAAGAAACCCCAAGATGCCTCCAAGAGTTTCCAAAGAGCCCTCCAAAACGGGCCGAAAAAGGGCCCCAATAGGACTCCCAAAAAGGCCCAGAGACGCCAAATGAAGAGCGATCGGTAACGCACACCAAGGCTCCCAAGAGCGAGCGGTGACGTAAACAAGCTGATAAGACCAAGGCTCCCAGCAGAGAGCGGTGACGTAACAAGTTCCTGACACCAAGGCCCAGCCAAGGCTCAGGAACGGGCGGCAACGCAACAATCTCTGAACACCAAGGCTCCCAAGAGCGAGGGGTGGCGTAACAAGCTCTCAACGCAAACGCTCCCAATACGAACGGTGGTGTGACTAATTCCGGGTTTTCGTTCTGAAGCGGTCTTTCCGTTTCTGTGCCTGGCCAGGTCTACTGGCCCGGGTCAGCCCAAACCCGGGCCAGTCAGGCCCTGCAGGGTCCTGCGATATCCTGCGGGATGCTGGTGCGGAGGAGGAGGAGGAGGAGGAGGAGGAGGAAGAGGAGGAGGAGGAGGAGGAGGAGGAGGAGGAGGAGGAGAGGAGGGGGAGTGAGGAGGAGGAGGAGGAGGAGGAGGAGGGAGAGGAGGAGGAGGAGGAGGAGAGGAGGAGGAGGAAGGGAGGAGGAGGAGGGGGGAGGGAGGAGGAGGAGAGGAGGAGGAGGAGGAGGAGGAGGAGAGAGGAGGAGGAGGAGGGAGGAGGAGGAGGAGGAGGAGGAGGAGGAGGGAGGAGGAGGAGGAGGAGGAGGAGGAGGAGGAGGAGAGGAGGAGGAGGAGGAGGAAGGATGCGGAGGAGGAGGGGGAGGGGGAGGAGGAGGTGGGGCAGGAGGAGGACGAGGAGGAGGAGGAGGAGGAGGAGGAGGAGGAGGAGAAGCGAACGACCCCTGAGAGTCCCAATCGCTCACCCGACACGCAATCGCTGAATGGCGACTGCTCCGAATCGCGCGGCAGCAAAAGCGGCAATAAAATCGTGATGGGGGGGCGCCAATCTCTACTTTCATGGCGTGATATATGCAGAAGGCTTGGGCGAGAGAGCGAACGGGACGAGCAAGAGTGAATTGACACGCGTGCCCCTCTTCACCGCCCAAGCCCAGCCGAACTAACACCTCCGAACTCATTGGCACCTGCGGGTCAGCCGCAAACTCGAGAAACTTGTCACACATCAGAGGGCGCTGTACGGTCTACACAGTTCGGACATCTCAGCAGGCAAGCGTGATAACCTGGGACGGCATGCGTTCGATCACTGGTGGTCCGCGCTCCGCTGAGGGTTTTTAGGACACGCCAGCGCACCGCGGGCTTGCATTTGCTGAGATACGATCTGAGAAAAAAAAAAAAAAAGCGAACGAGAGGACAGGTCAGGAGGAATGGCAAGGCTGGGATACAAGTTGCTCAATCGTTTGCGAATTGTGTCAAAAAGCTGCTCGGGATACATCTGTTGCGTAAGGGCAACGCAAGCAGCGCGCTGCACCTCGGGTCCCCCGCGCCCCTCCGCCTCTGCCCGCGCGACCTCCGCCCGCCCCATCCGCGCAGCAGTATGCTGCATGCTCGCAGAATCGGCGCAATACCTGGAGAAACATATCGGCTTGCACAGACAGTTGTCAACAAATCTCCTCACATTTGCCTTCTGCTCGCGCCGCCAAGCAGCCGACCAGCACTGCGCAGCAAACGGTGGAAGCGGGGCATAATTCTCAACAGCTTCCTGCAACCTGAAGAACTGCGCCCGCCAACTCGACAAAGTGGTCCTGCATGTTCGCCACATTGAAGCAAGAGGGAGAGAGAGAGAGAGAGAGAGAGAGAGAGAGAGAGAGAGAGAGAGAGGTAAGATGGCGGTTGGTCCTCCTCCTCGGCACCACGCCTTCAAGGATAAGAGGTCAGAGCGTGTCATGGCACGCGGTGGGAGTCTGTGCAACTTCTGCATTCCGCGAAGCTCTCTCTGCAGCAGTCCCAGGATGGGCAAGAACAATTGGAAGACATAGCTCAAAGTGGGGGGGATCGCAGAGGCGCACAAAAGCGCTAGCGCAGAGGGAGGGGCGCGAGTGTGGCTGGCGAGATGGATGCAATTCCACCATTTCTCAGACGGGGCTATCCACTGCAAGCCCCTAGGTGTTTCACCGCGCCCGACACCTGGAACGTGTCCCACCCGTCACAAACCCCCTCGAGATCACGGCGGGTTTGGCTCTGCACCTCTGGCGAAAGCGGAACCCACAGCGGGGCAGCTACACATTTGGCACGCTGAAGTGCTAGGCCAGCGAGCTTTTCAGCGAAGCGAAAGGTCTCCGCAATCACAAAGAGCCGCGAAACACACAGTATAATCAAGCCGATGTCGTCAGCGCGCGCTCGTACCACGCCGCGGTCGAGCGCGAGAAAAGGCCGCAGGACTGCCGGGCAGGGGGCAGCCCTGCAGGACACCGCTGGCGAGCTCGCGCATCGGCGCGAGCGGCATGTCCCCGAACCTCGCGAAAGCGATAGGAGCATTGTAGAGCGCCCCTGTGGGCCAAAGGACGCCGGATGGCACGCCATCGCGGGCTAAAGTGAGCTCCAGCCAACGGCGATTTAAGCTAGGAGACGCTGCCTTGGAGCCGAAAGAAAAGAGAAGCGGGCGGTTGCTGGATCCGCCCTCGAGCAAGCCAGCGCGCCTCGCCCCCGCATCGAACAAGGGTATCTTGCCGATGAAGTTACGCCCAGCGGCATGCCCTTGCTGACTCAGGTGCGCTCGCTGCTCAACAAGTGGCTTCGGAGCGAAATTGACTGCTGAGCTAATCGCTTTCACATCACTGTCTCTAAAACTCGAAAGACGAAGGTCCTGACTCCTCCGAGCTATCCGAGCCGCGCCCAACTCGCATTCCCCTTTCGGGGGAAGGGCAAACCGTGAGTGATTAGCCTCGCATGGCAACGTGCCGCCTGAGTAGATGCGCGCGAGAGCTCGACGCAGGAAAAACGCGGAAGTAGAGTGCGAAAGCCAGGCGGAGTAGAGAAGACGATCGGGACCAGGAGCACTTGGCTTCGCACGCTGCAGCGCCGATGTCAGCGCTTCCACGCTGGGCGCGGGGGCGCCAAAAGCAAGCGCAGGCGGGGGGGCAGAATGCAGAAAGGCGGGGATGCCATCATCGCGCGACTTGCGAGCAGCAAAGACGGGTTGCCAACGAGCTTGCGCGGCACTGGGAATCTCCTGATCATTCATAACAGCGCGAACGCTCTCACCGCTGTCACCATGCACGTGCCCGCGCACACCTTCTAAACGGAGCTGTCGGGGCCATGGTGTCCACGAACGAGCGCTTTTGGCAGCTTTGCGCTCGATCTTGCGCCGGCAGACTTCACCCTGGTGGCGCCCGAACTCATCTTATTGTGAGATACTCATGCTGGCCTGCAAAGCGCGCCCTTGATGCCATTCATTATTGGCTGCGTCGCACTGAGCGTGACAGGAAGGAGGATCGAGGAGACGGACCTGGCCGTCAACGACGACGAGGTTAGAATCAGCAAGGGGGCGCAGTGGCGGTCAGGCGACAGTCGGCGCGCACGTCGTTCCTCCAGAGAGCACGAGCCATAGAACGAACAAGATACATCCGTGTGAACGGCGCCTCAGGATGCGCATATTGCGCAATACCAGGGGCCCTGGGGCTTGCTGCGGGCGACGGCAGCACCTTCATACATACAGGACTTCCTCCACTCCTTGCCACGCCGCAGTGGCATAAAGCTGCTCAGAATCTGCGCGCGAAAGCATGCCAGCAAAAACCCGTTGAAACTCCGCAGTGCAAAAAGAGATTGGGAGGGGTGGCACGCTTCTGCGGGGATCTAGTAGTGAGCGGAGAGAGAGAGAGAGCTACAACATGAGCACAGCATGGTCGGAAAGACCGCGATCGGACATGCGCGCGCATTCGCGCGCTGCGTGTAGCGCGACAGCGACCGGCATCAGCTGAGACGGGCACCCAGAAATGACAACTCCATCGACGCACGTGACCTGCAGCCGATGCGAATCATACCGAGCGGGCAAGTCATTAGTGATCACCGTGACGGGGGCAAACGTGCGACGCCGCCGAGCTTGCATGGGCTGGCCTCGATTGTCGACCGCAGGAAGACTCGGAGCGGGGGCCGAGCTCGGGGTCAAAGGAGAACGAATGGAGCGGGGAGGAGACCCAGGGATGTTAAAGCCACCGAGAGCAGCAGACTTAAAGGCACGCCTGTGCGTTGCTGCAAACGCGACTTGCTGAGACCCGAAACGTTCAATCTCGTGCACGTCTAGAGCAGAGAGACGATGATTGCGCACGTTCAAAATACTCATGAATGCTCGTGCGCAGGGGGCGAGACATGCAGGGCTGCAGCGAGACCAGGAATGATCGAGTGCAACACGCAAGCTGGCTTCAGATGCCAGGATGTCGGTACGAGGCGGACGTCGCGGAACAAGAAACGCCACGCCACCAACAGATACCCCAGTCGCAGACATGAAACACTCGCAAGTGTAGGGCGCGTCATCGACGAACCGTTGCAATCTGCGCAGAGCCCCGCGAACCTCTTGAAGGGCAACGAGGAAGCGCGGCCGCATACACTCAGTGAAAATGCGCAGCTTGACATCGCGCCCCCTCGGGTCAAGACGAAGGAGGCCCCGCGCATTCCAGCGCATCAGGCGCCGACCATGTTCAGCGTCACGGCGAAATGGCTCCCACGGAGCCCAGCCTATGTTACCCGGACCACTGGGCCTCGGCGGCTGAGAAGGCGGCGTTGAAGGCCTCGTCGATCGTCGTCGCGTCAATGTTGATCTGCGCCGTCGCACTGCTGTTTCACCTGACGCGCGTCGGCTCGTCCTGCCCGTGAAGCTCGAGCTGGCAGCGTGGCACGCTGTTGCCAGCACCTGGCACTGAGCGCGCCGACGCCGCTTCGTGAGTGTAGGGTACTATCTTCCAATAGCCTCGACATCCGATTGGGTTGCACCTCGCCAAGAACCATCTTGGGGCTCTTGCCAGTCGGGAACTACATGGCGACCATAGCTCCTTCGGTTGAGGAGACCTGGAAGGTGCGCAGTCCAGCATAGGCGCGCAGGCTCCTGACCAGCGCAGTGGCACGGGTGCTGGCCTCAGTTTTGCTGTCCAAGACGCGCAGGGCGAACCGTCTTGCCACGACGTCACCGATGAGGTCCACCTGCTCGGGCAGCAACTTCGCGTCGGCCAGACAGGGGCCAAGTGCATCACGAACAGCACCAGGAGCAGCAGGGGCCACCGTGCCCACGGAGAAGACGCGAGGGTCCACCGCGCGGTCCCACGTCGCCAGGTTGTCCACATCGTAAGGGAGTTGCGCCTCAGCCACTGCCAACTGCCGCCTCATGTCCTCGACCGCTGTCCGTGTAGCAGCTTGGTCAACAGCAGCCCGATCCTGCCGTTGACGGAGTTCTTGAACTTCACGAGCTTGAACATCCAGTCGCCGATGCGCCCGCGCCTGCTCTGCGAGGAACGACGCGCGCAGCTCGCCAGCGATGGATTGTAGTTGAGTGACAGCCGCGTTGGCAGCAGCGCTGGCCGCAGCAGCAGCTGCGGCAGCACGCACAGAGCCAATGTCCACCTGAGCTGGTTCACGAAGGAGGCGCCCACGGCCATCATCGACGTGTGCCCTCCGCCACGGGTCCTGCGCCTGCAGTGGGTCGGTGGCTTCACGACCTGCCACAGGAGTGGCAGGGACAGCATGGTGGCCAGCATGAAGAGCGTCACGAGCTTCGGTGTCAGGAAAAGTTGGTGTCATTTCAGCATCGCGGGCAAACTGCTCCCGTTCGGCAGGCGATAAAGCAGCAAAAATGGCAGCTGAATCTCCAGTGCCGCTGCTCGTGTCTGCACCATGTTCATGACGACGGGTACCAGATCGACCAGAGTGTCGAAGGCCACCTTGATCAGAACGTGTGGGTTCTCGACGTCGATCGCGATCTCCTCGAGGGTGTTCACGATCACGATCTCGCTCACCACGAGGAGGACGACCAAAGCGGCGGAGAGGTGGGTCATGGTGTTGCCGTCTGCGAACTTCAGCGGTGTCGCTGCGACTGCGATCGGTGTCGCCGGGCTCATCTGACATATTGCTACCAGAATGAGACATAGGATCGGTCGACCACTGCCAACAGCCTCCGCGTTGTCGCCACCGAAGTCCGTTGTGGCTGTGCGGGCACTGACGAGAGTTGGTCGTCGCGAGAAAAACAAGACAGTGTTATGGAAAGCAGTCGTGGCCGCAAGGCCCTGCTGGAAGGCTAGCACATTCGCGAGAGGGAGACAGTCTCCTGGCCCCAGCAGCGCACAGCTCGACTGGGGTTGCCTGAAACTGAAGCTAGCCTCGGACCAGAAGTATCCACATCTGGCCCCGAGGACAAAAACATCTTGAGCCAAAATGGTTACGGTGGAGGAGGAAAAGGATCCTGCGCCCAGGCCCGGGTCGGTGCGCCCCCGGCCCGACCTGGCGCTCCGACGGACCCCCGTTGTGCACTGCGAGGGCTCCCCCGGCGGCGGCTCCGCGCGGCACTCTTCGCGCCCCCGCGCCGCCCCCCGGCGGCGCGCCAGGGGGGTAGGGGGCCACATGCGAACCCTACCCCTACCCCCCGCGATTTCTGATGGGGGAGGGTGGGGTCCACTTCGCTCGGGAGGGGATGAGGGGAGGGGGGGGGGGCCTTCCAGGAAGCCAACGGGCTCCTCAGGCTGCGGGGCCCTCCCAGGAGGCCCCCAGCAGGCTTCAAGGAACAGGAAGGTTTCCCGGAGGCTTCCTGGGCGTTTCCAATGGAGGCCCCCTGCCGTGGCGAGGCCCCTTGGCATCACAGACGCACACCCCTCGTGCCGCCCCCTTCCGCGCGCCGCCAGGCACCCCTGCAGCAGGTCAGCTCATGATTGGCCTCCTAGACGGGGTTCGAGTAGGTGGGTCGGAGAAGCGCGCCGCATCTCCGATGCAGCGCCGATGCATCGACGGCGTAGGCGATGCATCGGCGCCGTCGGCAAAAAACAATGCGCGCTCGACATCGAGCCGCATCGCCGATGCATCGGCGATGCGGCGCGATCCTCCGACCCCATCTGCTCGGACCCCATTTTGGAGGCCTCGAGGCATTCGTCTGGGGTGTGGGCATGCGGCAGAAGGGAATGGCTTTCCGAGGTCCTTGGACGCTTCGGGGGATCCTGGGGGGTCCCTGATGTCTCAGAGGGTTCTTGTTCTTGGGTGCTCTCCAATCCTGAACAATCGGTGCCCTCCTCTGTCGTTAAGACGAACGACGCTGGAGCGATGCGACCGAAAGTGGACCTGGTCTGGCCTGCGCACAAACGCACCGAAGATCGCTTGCGCCGGGGGAGGGCTCTGTGAGGTTGACGGAAGTGTTGGCATGATGCATGCGGGGGTGCTTGGGGGTCGTTCGCTGCTGTCCGCGTCTGCGGTAGTTCTGGATCCTCTGGTCCCGCCAGGAAGCTCTGGGAGCACCTGGGGAGCCCCTGGGAGCAGCCGGGGAGCTCTGGGAGCACCTGGGGAGCCCCTGGGAGCTCCCGGGGAGCCCTGGCAGTCGTCGGATCACAGAGGGACGGTGCTTCCGGAGTGACACTACGTCCGGGAAGCCAGGCCAGCTGATCCACCATCGCAACCATCAGGCCATCTCGACGACGCCCGACCGCTGGGGGCGGAGTTGAGGAAGAGGGCCGACATACTACCTGTCGCAGCGGGCGAGGCGCTCCCGCAGCTTGCTCAACAAAAGAAGAGGAAGAGGCGGAGGAAGGCAACGAACCTGACGGAAATGACAAGTGACCAAGTTACGAAAATTGGCAACGAGGATTATGACGAAAAGTGCGAGCATGACGAAGGGCCCCGGGACCCCCAAAGAGGGGCAGGACAGCCCGACGCGCTCTTCTCGCAGCGCGCAAGGAGGTCAGTGCACCGCCACGTTGAGTCACTGTGCACCCAGGACCGAAGGGGGGAGGAGGGGAGAATCGGGAGCACGAGGAGACGAGGACGTCAAGAAAAAAGACGAGACGGAGGAGAACGGAAATGAGGACGAGTCGATGAGGGAGCCAGGAGGAGGACGACGAAGAGGGCAATGACGAGGAGGGCGACAAGGGGGCCATGGTTGACCCGGTGGGCGTAGCTGACACTGACGACGCGACGCGGGGCCACCTGGAGATGCCCCGCGACGGAAAGCGGCAACAGCCGGGCGAGGATAGAACAAGACAAACCAACATCAGCACCAGCTTTCTAAGGTCCGAGTGGGTTTCTTGGATCAGCGCTGTACCCCTCCCCTGGCGGGCGGAGCGCGCCAGGGCGACGGTCCGAAGAATCCGCGCGGACCTCAGACAAGCTATGCTTGTGCTGGCTCCTGCTCTCCGAGAGGGGATGGACGAGGGAGGGAACAAAGGATCGAGGTTCCGTGACGTGGGTGGTCGGTGCAGGGCCTCTGGAGGCGGCCGGGGGGTCTGAGCCGGACGAGCCCAGAGAACGTCGGTCAAAACGGGGGGATGAGGTCAACTCGGGGATGGACAGACCTCCCTTTAGTAAACCGTGGCTTAGTGAAAACAACCTCGGGCCCAAACCTGGCGGGCGCAAGCCTGGAACATGACGGCCGCGGCGCCCTCTCGAGAACCGAAAACGGACACTTCACTATTCGACGTGTCAGGGTAGGAGGTCTGTCCACCCCCGATCAACGTCGTTCACGAGTCGGTCCCCAGACCCCTACGCGGGTCGAGCCTGACAACATGTTCCGGCCGTGGCGGCCCTCTCTCCACCCTGGTGTTCAGCGCGAGCGCGGGCACGCGGAGCCCCTGACGGGCACGAGCAACATGGCGACCTGGAACGGATAGAGAGAGGTGCCTGCGAGTGGGGAGGAGGCAGAGGAGGCGTAGGAGGAGGAGGGGGAGGAGGAGGAGGAGGAGGAGGAGGAGGAGGAGGAGGAGGAGGAGGAGTAGACGGAGGAGGAGGAGGAGGAGGAGGAGGAGGAGAAATGAGGAGGAGGAGGGAGGAGAGGAGGAGGAGGAGGAGGAGGAGGGAGGAGGAGGAGGAGGGAGGAGGAGGAGGAGGGAGAGGCGGCCAGCGAGGGCCCCAGAGCCAGCGATGCTGCGACGCCTTCCGCAGCTTCGATGCGCCGATGGGTCCCTCGAAACCCTTCCTGGGACACGGGGGGGGCCTCTCGTCGCCACGGCCGGGCCCCCCGCGAGGCTCTTCCCACGGGGCGCACCCCTCCCGAGGGAGGACGCGGAGGAGTGGCGTGAGGGGAGGAGGGGGAGGGGTCGAGAATCGGGGGGGGGGAGGAGGTGGAGGAGGGGGGAGGAGGGAGGAGGGTCGAGAATCGGGGGCCGGAGGAGGTGGAGAAGACGACTCTCGCACTCGGCCCGAAAGCCATGGGGGCCCCCGATGCGGGGATGCCTCGACGAAAACCTTCGGGCCCAGACGGACGAGAGGGAGGGAGAAGCAGCGGGAGGAGGAGGAGAGGAGAGGAGGAGGAAGAGGAGGAGGAGGAGGAGGAGGAGGGGGGGGAGGAGGAGGAGGAGGGGGGAGGGAGGAGGAGGAAGGAGGTCGAGGAGGGTGAGGGAATGAGGATGAGGGAGGAGGAGGAGGGAGGGAGAGAGAGAGAGGAGAGGAGAGGAGAGGAGAGGAGAGGAGAGGAGAGGAGAGGAAAGGAGAGGAGAAGAGAGGAGAGCAGAGGAGAGGGCGACGGCGAGGACGAGGAGCATCGGGAGGAGGGCCAGAGGCCGGGCCGCGGACGGCGGACGGGGCCGAGCACGGGCGCGGACGGATGACAACTCTGCACCGATGCCCTGCCCTCGCAGCTGGCCGTGCCTGCCTTCTGGGATACAGGGCGTGGCCGACCCTCCTCCTCCTCCAACTCCTCCTCCTCCTCCTCCTCCTCCTCCTCCTCCTCCTCCTCCTCCAGACCTCCGCAGGCGTTCTGAGCAAAACCTCCAGGCGAGTCCGGCCGTGGCGAAGAGGGCCCGCCAGCACCGGGTCGGGGGGCGGGGGGGGAAGGCTCCTTGAAGTCTGCTTCTCAGTGGACGCTGGCCCTGCATCTGCAGGCAAGGCCCGCGCCTTCTAGGAATCAGCCGCCTCCTGAGGAGCCTGCCCCCCTCCCCCTACCCCCTTCTGCGATTGGCCGAGAAGGAACCGCAACGGATCGGCGCAGCCCCTCTTGGCGCGCAGGGGACGGGGCGCTGAGGGGCCCGAGGAGCTTGAGAAGGGCGGAGGATCTCAGGACAAGCTTCCCTCGAGACCCCCTGCCTCCAGGGAGAAGACTCGAGGATCGTCTGAGTACAAACATCGACTCGGATCGGGCCGGCCTGGCCGGTCTCGGTCGGACCGACCGCGGGCACACGCCAACACGAGTTGAGGGATCCGTGGAGCTGGCGCGCGGGCGCCAGCTCCGCGGATTTGAGAAAAGGCCCCTCCCCCTCGAGACATGAGGCCGGCGCCGCCTCGTTTGGCGACGGACCGCGCCGAGTTCGTATGGCAACGGGCCCGTCGCACATCCACACGCCGACAGGTTGGTCCAAAGGTCATAGAAGACGGCTGGGCCAAAAATCGTGCATGCTTGAGCGGCCCAAAATCTCCGGAGTCACGTCTCTCGATTTGGACGCCCGAAGTGGGTCCGGAAAAACTGGGCACAATGCCCAACAACAAATGTTGTCCCAAACCAGCAGCGGCCGCTGTTGGGCAGGCGGCCTTCTGCCTCGAATGGACACAGGCCGCGGCGGCGTGGATAGCGAATCCGGCTCAAAATGAACAGGAACTGCTGTTGGGCATTGTACCCATTCTTTCCGTACCCATTTCGGGCGTCCAGACTCGAGATCCCGTGAATCATGGCAGGCAGCAAACACTTGATAACACGCCGCAGCCCCGTAGCCACAGCAGCCGCTGCGGCCGACGGGGGAAGAATGATGGAGCTCTCGCTGGTGGAAGCGCCGTTCCCCCCCAAAAAACATAGGGGGCCACACATGTGAACCCTACCCCCCACGATTTCTGAGGGGGAGGGTGGGGTTCATTTCGTTCGGGAGGTCCCGAACGAAATGGACCCCACAAATCGTGGGGGGTATAGGTCGCGTTCACATGTGGCCTCCCCCGAGAGAGGACGGGGGGGGTCCTCCCATTTTTTGCCATCGCACGGACGTCCACTCCCCGCGCATGCTTAGATCGTGCGCACTGCTGCGCAGGATGCTCCCAAAAGTTTCTCGGTGGGCCTCGCCTCGGGGAACAGTGCACGCGCCTCGGGAACACACCGAACTCAGCACCACGGGAAGCGGGACCCGCTGCAATTCCCGCGCGCCTTACAGTCAGCATCTACAACACGGACGGGCGCTGAGGATGCAAAAGTTTGGTTGAACAGGGACCCGCCGTCCCGGCATTTGTATAGGCCTACCACGATATTATCTTAAACACCCGCAAATTTCTTAATAACAAACACATTGCTCTCATAACAGAAACCCGATGTGCTAATACATAACGGCCCCAACCATAAATGTTCAAAGAACAGTTCGTGGAAACCACAAGAAGTGTTGTTTAAATACTTTGGTCGGCCTATAGGCCTATCTATAAGCACGCCAGGACGCCTCGCCACTGCTTGAGTAGGGACGGGCAGATCCTCCGACAGGCGCACCTGGGACGGAACATGGACAAGCCTCAAAACAGAATCAAAAAAGAGCCGAAGCATCGTCCCCCGACTGTTTCTTGACCGTTCTTGAACACTCCACCTGCGTCGGTGAGACGCAAGACTCGGGTGCGGGGGACTCGGGTAGGCCTGACGGGGCCATCATAAAAATGGGGAGATCCGATCTGGAATCTGACGCGACCTCCCATTGCAGACATCCCAAGAAAACCGGACCGTCAGAATCCAGGATACGCGCCCGTCAAAGAAAGCTGGCAGACCCGAGCTCCAACTTACTCGAGTCTCTTCGCGGCGCGTACACGGGGGTGGAGAGGCGGAGGGCTTCGTAGAAGGAGGCTGCTCCTTGGAAGGCGACGGCCTCACATCCACAGATAAGGCCCGCGCCTTCTAAGAGGCAGGCGTGCTTCTAAGAAGCCCTCCCCCCTCCCCCCCACCCCACTCTGCGCGTGGATGAAACTCTTTTTTGAGCTCAACGCCCGCACAGCCTTGGTGAAAAAAAAACACAGCAGCGGCGGCTGGGAAACCACTGCTGGCAGTGAGGAAGACCTCACTGACCGAAAGAGTACCTCCAGCAGCCCCATGGGCTATAGGAGGCGCTGGCCACACGACGGGCGACCGCCCCGTGGCCAGCGCAAGAGAAAAACAACCCAGCGCCTCAGCAAGGCATACGGACGGGGAGGTTGCCCCGGGGGACGCGAGAGGCACCCCATCACCCTGGGAATAAGAAAACAGCAGGGGTCAGCTCTCTGGACCCTCCTCCTTGGTCGCCCCCCTCGAGGAGGAGGGGGCGGGGGAGGAGGAGGGCCACGAGAGCTGACCTGCACAGTTCTCCTTCTGCGAAGCTTAGGTCGGGCATGTCCCCCATGTATGGGCCGATTTGGGGCGAAGAGTGAAACAATAGCCTGCAAGTACTCAGACCATGCCCAAACACAATCGTCCCCACATACTCTTTCTTGACTATTTTGGAGTTACACGCCGGTCTGAAGAAGTGGGTTGAAACATGAAGTAGGAAGGCGTTGGAAGTAGATTGGGCTTCCACCCGCCCCCTGAAGAGGAGGAAAGAAGGAGAACCGCTCGACTCTTGAAGCAGGAGGGCGCCTGAAGTAGATTAGGATCTGGGCATCAGAAAATACCTACTTTCAACGACCGGCTTGTGTTCCTCCTGGGGAGGGACAGGCCCGGCTTCGTGCTCAACCCGCCGCCCCTTGCCGAAGGGGGGCGTCGGGGCCGGGCGCGGTCACGGCGCGGAGGGCGCACGGGAGTGCCATATCAGGGCCTGGGGGACGTCGTGCCCCCCGCAGGGATGCTGGGCGCAGTTCGGCGTCGAGCGGGGGGGAGGGGAAGCGGGAAGGGTCCTCCTCCTCCTCCTCCTCCTCCTCCTCCTCCTCCTCCTCCTCCGTTCCTCCTCCTCCTCCTCCTCCTCCTCCTCCTCCGCCTCTAGCCTCTAGCCTCCCCCTCCTCCTCCTCCTCCTCCTCCTCTTTCTCCCCCTCCTCGAGCAGTGGCTTCTCCGTCGGCCTGGAGGACTCGCCCCCGACTGGAGAAGGCCTTCTCAGAAGGTTCCGAAAGTCCCCTGGCCTTCTGAGAAGCTTTCCAAAAAGCCTGCCACGAAGACAAAAACAAAACACTTCTCAGAAGTCGCGAGGGATTCTGAGAAGTCTCGCCGCCTTCTGATGAGTTTTCTCCTTCTCAGTTCTCCCCCTCGCTCGCCGCCGAGTAATCCATGCTTGCGCTTCGTAAGCGGCGCTCTTTTGTTCCGGGTTCCGGCATTTGGCCGAGGGGCGTGGGATAAGGGGTCTGGGTCTGGGCCGGTACTCAGTCGATCTGCTTCCACCAGCCTCGGAACCAGACTGGGGTCGGAGGTCCTGACCAGTCGCCAGACGCAGCCGCAAACAGCAATCAAGATCTGGTCTACGGGGGAGGAGGGCGTGGGGGCGGGAGGCCGCGCCGATCGGCGAAACAGAACAGAAAAAGAAACACTTCCTCGACGGTCGGATCGAGTTTGGCAAGAAATTGATGAGGATCAACTGGGTACAATGTCCAACAACATACGTCGGCCAAAACCGACAGCGGCCGCTGTTGGGCAGGCGTCCTTCTGTCTCGAATTTGCAACGCCCGCGGCGGCACAGACAGCAAGTCCTGCTCAAAATGGAAAGAAACTGCCGTCGGTCTTTATACCAATTCTTTCCGCACTCATTTCGATGGTACCGAGTTTGCGCTTCCTCGACGGTCGGATCGAGGTTGAAGACGAAGCCAGGACGAGGATCAAATCGGGTGAAGATAAATCGAGCATCGCTGAGATGTGGCAGCTCTGGAGAATGTCTCGGGCGCCGCGGCCTTCTCAGAACGCTCTGGAGCGCTTCGAAAGCGTTCCGTAACGCCCCAGAACGGATTTGTCCTCGTCCCAGCCCCGTCCGACGATCGGCGAAACAAACCATAAAAAACCGGAACGCCCCGGAACGGTCCAAGCCCCGTCCGACGATCGGCGGAACAAATCTGGCCCTTGGGGATCCTCTGATCGGGGTCAATCCAGACCCGGGTCAGTCAAGCCTTGCAGAATCCTACAAGACCCTGCAAGATCCTGCAACCAAACCCAGGTCAATGCGAAGGATCCTGCAAGATCCTGCGCCCAGACCCGGGTCAATGCGCCCCTGGCCCTGCAGGATCCTGCAAGGTCGGGCGCTCTGGCTGACCTCCGTTTGCGTTGACCCCCGTCCCTTGAGCCACGAGGCCCTGGGTGGGGGGGGGCGCCGGGCCCCGGGTCTTCTCAGGAGGCTCGGGAGGCCTCGGGGCCTTCTGTCGGGGGCGCGCCAGCAGGGATGAGCGATCCATAGACGTGGCGCCCGGCCGCCAGATCCATGGATCGGAGGAGGCGCCCTCCAAAAAAAGGGGCCGGTGCCGCTGCGCTCGGCGGCGGAAATCCGCGACTCCCCATGGGAACGGGACCCGTCGCCAGTCCACGCCCGCCTGATCCACGTTTGCGCTCGCCCGCTTCTGAGAGGCCCCGTCGTGCGCTGGGAAGGCCTGCTCCCCCTCTCTCGCTCCGACCCCCCCCCCAAGCGCGCCGCCGAGAGGAGCTGCGCGGGGACCGCGAGATCGCGCTGTGGGCCGCGCGGCAGCACGGGCCGGCCCTGGAGCCTCTGCGGAGGCGAGGGCGCGGCACCTCGAGGCCCGAGGCTCCTTCTCGAGGAGGGGCCTCGCGCCCCGAGAAGGCGGCTCCTTCTCGTCCCCCCCCCCTCGCTCGCCGCCGACTGGAGGGGGGGCCCACGCTGGGGGCCTCGAGCCTCGAGGAGGAGGCTCCTTCTCGCGTCCCCCCCCCCCGCGCTCGCCGCCGACTTCGGGGATCTGCTGACCCGGGTCAATCCTGACCCGGGTCAGTCGGGCCTTGCAGGGTCCAGCAAGATCTTGCAGGCTCCTGCAGGATCCCGCACCCAAGCCCGGGTCGATGCAGCCCTGGCTCAGCAGGATCCTGCAAGATCCGGCGCCCTGGCTGACCCACGTTTCCATGAAGGGGCCCTGGGACACACACTAATAAATACATACAAATAACCGGATTCCCAATATTTTCCCATATTTTCTGGATTTGTGCCTTCCCCCCCCCTTCCCATACTTTCCCATATTTTCTGGGAATTCGTCGATTAATTGTGTCAGTTTGTTTTTTCTCTCCTGTTTGCACTGGCCCCTGTCACTGGACACCCGCCGACTGGAGGGACGGGCGCGCAGGGGGCTCGGGCCTGCAACACGGCCCAGGTGGACTGCTGGGTCTGGCGCGCGCGGGCGCCCGGCCCGGTCCCTCGCCCAGTGGGGCCCCAGGGGGTGCTTCTCCTGCTCATACCCCACCCCCTCTCTTCCCTTTCTTCTCCTCCTCCTCCTCCTCCTCCTCCTCCTCCTCCTCCTCGTCTCGTCCTCTCTCCTCCTCTCCTCTCCTCCTCTCCTCCTCCACCTCTCCTCCGCCTCCACATTCTCCTCCTCCTCCCCTTCCTCCACTCTCCTCCTCCGTCCTCCGCCATCCGCTCCTCCTCCTCGTCCTCCTGCCCCTCCACCTCCACCCCCGCCTCTCCTCCTCCTCCTCCTCACCTCCTTCCTCCTCCCTCCTCCCCTCCTCCACCCCTCCTCCTCCTCCTCCTCCTCCACCTCATACTCTTTCCCCTCCTCCTACTCCGCCTTCCTCCCCTTCCTCCTCTCTCATACTTCCTGCTATCTGCTCACTCCCTCCTCCTGCTCTCACCTCCTCCTTTCCTCTCCTCCTGACTCCTCCTCCTCCTCTCCTCCTTCTCCTCCTGCTGCTGCTGCTCCTCATCCTCATCCTCTCAGTATTCTCCTCCCTCCACCACCTCCTCCTCCTCCTCATCCTCTCCGCCTCCTCCCCTCCTCCTACTCCGCCCTCCTCCCCTTCCTCCTCCTCATACTCCAGCTAGCTGCTGCTACCTCCTCCTCCTCCTCCTGCTCCTCCTCTCCTCACTGCTCACCTTGCCGCAACCTCCGTCCTCCTCCTCCTCTCCTTCTCCTGCCACTCCTACTCCCCTCCTCCTCCTACCTCCTCTCCTCCTCCTCCTCCTCTCCTCCTCACACCTCCTACTGCTCACGCCCCCCCCCCTTTCCCTACCCTCCTGCCCCTCCCCCCTCCACCTCCTCCTCCTCCTCCCCTCCCCTCCTCCTCCCCTCCTCCTCCTCCTCCTCCTCCTCCTCCTCCACCTCACACTCCTCTTCCTCCTTCTGCTCCTCCTCCTCCTCCTCCTTCTGCTCCTCCTCCTCCTCCTCCTCCTCCTCCTCCTCCTCCTCCTCCTCCTCCTCCAAGGGGGGCGATACCCTCCTTCTCGTGGGCGGGGGGGGCAGGACAATCCACTCCTCCTGCTCCCCTGCTGCTCCTCGACCCCCCCTATCGCCTTCCTTCTCCCCTTCCTCCTCCTCATGCTGCTCCTCCTTCTCCTCATGCAACTTTTCGTCCTCCTTATCTGCATCCCGACGGCAGCGAAGTACCAAAGGCACAGCGAGGCACCGACTGAACATGAGAAGGAAAGGGACAATACTGACAATGATGATGAGGATGAGGATAATGATGATGATTATGATTATGATGATTATGATGATTAGGATGATGATGATGATGATGATGATGATGATGATGATGATGATGATGATGATGATGATGATGATGATGATGATGATGATGATGATGATTGTGATGATGATGATGATGATGATGATGATGATGATGATGCTGATGATGATGACGCTGCTGGTGGCAGCGAGGAAGAGGAGGAGGCTGCTGGAGATGTCGATGGTACTGATGACGATGATGTGATTAAGGTGCTGGTGCGGATGGTGATGATGATGATAGTGATGATGAGGATGATGATGCCGATGATGATGATGATGTTGATGATGATGATGATGATGATGATGATGATGATGATGATGATGATGATGATGATCATGATGATGATGCTGATGGCGAGGAGTTGGAGGAGGAGGGTATCGAATGACGAAAGCCGCAGCGAGGCACCGACTCAAAAAGAGGAGGGACACACAAGTGTACTGCGAGCGTTCGTTGGGTGCCGCGTTCTCATGAGGAGTGGGGCCCCAAGGAGTCTCCTCCTCCTCCTCCTCCTCCTCCTCCTCCTCCTCCTCCTCCTCTCCTCCTCCTCCTCCTCCTCCTCCCACCCCCCCCTCCTCCCCCCCCTCCTCCTCCTCCTCCTCCTCCCCTCCTCTCCTCCTCCTCCTCCCTCCTCCCCCCTCCGTCTCCACCTCCTCCTCCTCCGCCTCCTCCTGCTCCTCCTGCTCCTCCTGCTCCTGCTCCTGCTCCTGCTCCTGCTCCTGCTCCTGCTCCTGCTCCTGCTCCTGCTCCTGCTCCTGCTCCTGCTCCTGCTCCTGCTCCTGCTCCTCCTCCTCCTCCTCCTCCTCCTCCACCGTCCTCCCGTCCACGTCTTCTCCTCCCCCCAGGCTGCACGCCGAAGCGGCCCTGTGCAGGAGATGTTTTCGATGCGCGGATTTGCCGCTCGCGGCAACCGACACTGCGACAGCGGCCTGCGCGCTTGTGGCTTGCCCCCCCCGCGCTCCCCCCCCCCACACAAAGGCACGCACAACGGGTCACAAAGACAGGGAAGACGTGATTTCTTCGCGACGCGGGCATTTCTTCGCGAGGCGTGCTTTCTTCGCGAGGCGAGCATGTCACTCCCGCGCGCCCCCCCCCACAGAGGGCTTGCCCCCCCGCTTGCCCCCAGAAAGCCGCGCACAACGGATCGCTGTTCCAGCGAAGGGTCAGCTCTGACGTGTCGCCGGTCCTCGCCCTCCTCTTGGCGCTGGCCGAGCCTCGGCGCTTTGGCGGGAGAGCCCAGACTTGCCCAAATGCGATAGCAACGAGTGCGTCCTCCTCCTCCTCCTCCTCCTCCTCCTCCTCCTCGCTTCCAGAAACCGCTTGGCTGTTTGAACCCGCACACAGGGGCGGCTGCCGCAGGCCCGTCTTGGGGCCTTATCCCTCCTCCTCCTCCTCCTCCTCCTCCTCCTCCTGCGAGGCCTCCCCCCGACCTCGAGCTTGCCCCGAAAAGAAAGCATCACTGGCACCTCTGGGGTAACAATTTCCTGTGCGTTGCATGCCGACAACGTTGTGGCAGCCAAGCCGAAATGCAGCGTCGAGCCCGAGAGGATTGCCCAGGTTTCTGCCAGAGCCAAAGTGACTTGGTGAGTAACCCTCGAGGGCAAATGCCGTATTTCTTCGGGTACGCTGACGAAGGCATTCCGCTCAGTGTGATCCTGTGCTGGAAGTGTGGCACTTTCACCGAAGGCACGCATGGTTTTCAGGAACAATGCCCTGGCAGGCCCACGAACCATGGTCGCAAGTTACAGAAGCAAAGAACCATGGAGGGTAGACATCCCAAGGGGGGCGCAAATTCGCCTATAGTTTTGAAAGCCCCGATCCCGTTAGCCCAGCTGGCCAAAGAATTAAATGGGACGACCCCCATCGACCTCGAGATTGGTAATCCGAGTGAGAGTTCGTGCTTGCCATCAAAGCCCCCATTGAGGGGATGCGGAAACATGCCCAGGGCGGCCGAACCCCACCTTCAGTCTGAGCGCTGGTCCTCCTCATCCTCGTCGTCGCCCTCCTCCTCCTCCTCCACGTCGCCGCGCGACTCGCAGAACACAAAATGGGGCCGTAACACCAAACCTCCTCGCCCGAGTTAGCTGGGACAGCGAGGGCACATGGACACACGTCTCTGATGATGGTGGTTACGCTCGCTGTGCCGCCGACTGTTTGCGCGACCCTTGGGTGACGTCGACTATGACGACGGCAGCGACGACGATGGATGCGCGTGAAGGGTGTGCCGACATGGGCGGGGAACCGCATGTGTACACTGCCACTGGGGCCTTCGGTGGAGCTCCGTACGGAACCATGGAACGTGTGGTGCACCGAAAATGGTGGGGAACCGCATGTGGACTCTGCCACTGGGGTCTTCGGAGGAGCTCCCTATGGGGCCGATAAACGTTTGAGGGGTGTGCCAGAATAGGGCGGGGAACCGCATGTGGAGACTGCCACTGGGGCCTTCGGTGGAGGTTCTTATGGGGCCGCATCACCTGTGAGGAGTGTGCCGGCATAGACGGGGCACCGCATGTGGACCCTGCTACTGGGGCCTTCGGTGGAGCTCTTTCTGGGCCACGAAGCGCGTTCAGGGTGTCGAAATGGGCGGGGAGCCGCATGTGGACTCTGTCACTGGGGCATTCGGTGGTGCTCCCTATGGGGCCGCGAAACGTGCGAGCGTTGCGCCGAAGTGTGACTGATGCGGAGGGCAAAGGAAGAGGTGGCAGGAGGGAGGGGGGGCAAGGAGGAGGGTGAGCACGCGGGGCGCTGCTTTTGCAGGACGAGGACGCAACAGCAACAGGATGGTTGGGAACGAGATGGGGCGATACATGAGGGAGAAAAGGAGGAAAGGAGGACGGAGGGAGGGGGGTGTCTCTGGCCACAACACCTCAATCTATCCTGGGGAAGTGTCGAATGGGAGACGTTGTCGTCGCAGCTGGGCCTTCACCAACATACTGAATTCCAAGAAGGTCTCGAGCGAGAGCGACGTGGGCGCATCTGACCAGGGCGTGTGGGAACAAGTGGCACGCGTGCCCTGGCTCTTGCTCGTTGGAGGAGAAATAGGGGAGGGGAAGGTGGGGGAATCGAAGGGGGAAGGGACGGGTGGAAGGGCATGTGTGCTGATGCAGTGGGTGTCGATAGGGACCTGCAAGAAAGTCTCGAGCGAGAGCGACGTGGGCGCATCTGACCAAGGCGTGTGGGAATGAAACAATTGAGCGTGACGAGCGGCAACCGTTGTCGTCGTAGTTGGGGCTTCACAGACCCGAATGGGTTGCAGTCCCGGCCGAATGAACCATTCCTGACAGCGGGGGCGTCTCTGGCCAAAACGCCTCGGACATACACTCCGACCGGGTATCGACCGGGAGCCGTTGTCCTCGCACTTGGGCCTTGACCAAGTTGGCTGAATTGCAAGAGGGTCTCGAGCAAGAGCGCCGCGGGCGCATCTGACCATGCATGTCTCGTGGGATTCCGCCGGGTCCCGCTTGTTGGGGGTGAGAAGGCGTGTGAGGAATTTGGCTGGTCCCTTCCCCCTTTGCCTGCAATCCAAAAGGACATACTAGTACGATGCGTTCTCCTTGGAAGCGCTCGCCCGATCCGACCGCATAATACAGCCATCCTGTAATATGTCGTTTCCCGAGCGGTACGGCCACAAGGTGCCTGCCACAAAGCATATACAATACGATTTCTAGGTGCGCGCGTCGACCCTGGGGGGGCGACGTCCACATAATATTGAAATGTTCGGGAGCCTTGAGACGGGGGTCACTGCGAACGGGGGTCAGCCAGAACGCTGGATCTTGCAGGATCCTGCACAGCCGGGGGCGCACTGACCCCTGTTAGCGCGCAGGATCGTACAAGATCCTGTAAAATGTTGCAGGGTCCTGTAGAGCCCGACTGGCCCGGGCTTGAATTGACCCGGGTCAGCACGTCCCCGGTATGTGACGCCGACACCCACTCCCCGAGGGTCCATCATCCTATCAGAAAAGGGGGCCCTCCACAAGAGCACGAGCTCGCCAGCGCACCTCCGGGGCCCTCGGAACCTCCACCATCAGTGCCAGGCAAGATGCATGCCCGAGATGCCCATTAAGATGGCTCTGGCAAGGCTCCAACATGCAAGAAAAGGCCTCAAGAACACGCCAAGCCACACCCAAAACGTGGCCTAAAGACGGCCCTGGCCCCCCCCCAACAAAAAACGCCCCAGGAGGGCCCGTGAGATCCACTCAGAAGGCCTCGACGGGCAAAAATAACTCCCATCAGGTATTTGAGCGGTGTTGGCTATCGGGCTTCTGCGAATCTACCACGACCCGAGACGCCCGCCAGACTGGACAGACACGGCCCAAGATGCCCCCAAGAGAGCCGTAAGACGGCCCAGGAGGGCCCTATAACGGTCCAGGAGTCCCCACAGGACGCCCAAACAGGCTCCCCAAAGAGTTTGTTTTACCTCCGCGGCTTCACCAAATCAGGCAAATAGGCGACTCCTTACAGCATGTGTGAAAAATGCTGTAAGCAAAATGTACCGAGAAGCAGGTGAAAACATTCGGGCGACCTCGCCTCGGCGAGCGCCGCTTTGGGGAGGGGGCTTCGCGAGATCCTTTCGGAGCGCCCACTATGGTCCCCTCCCCTCACGGATCGACCCGCGGCTCGGTCGCCAACAACAGGGCATCCGTCGAAGTGCGCCCAAGAGGCCCCCGAATGGCTCCGAAGAGCTTCCAGTCCCCGAAGCCCCTTCGACGGACGCGGAGGATTCACAGGACGCCTCGGTAACAACTGCATGCAGGCGGAACGACGGGACGCGGCAAACCACACATACGAAATTGGAAGCCATACCTCCTCTTCTGGGGCTCGGCTGACTGGCGCAAGCTTTTGGCGAAGAGTACACTCGACCAGGATAGTAAGGATGCGCGGTAAGGATGCAAGGGCCTTGGAACGCCATGTTGACGCTTCCCGTGCTGAGCGCAGCATAATGCAGAAGAAGGGCGAATACCGAAGGGGCAAGGATGTAAGGGTAGCCTTGGAAAGTTGCCCCATCCTTAATATCATGCTCGACTGTAATATCGCAAACATTTTGAGATTTTGCCAGCCCCATTGCGTTGCAGTTACAAGACAGAAGGCCATTGCTGACTTAGGGGGGCCTCCCTGGCCAAGGCGCCTTGGATCCAACTGCGAAGAAACGTCGACTGGGAGCCGCTGCCGTCATGGCCGGGCCTTCACCCGTTTGGCTGAATTGCGATGAAATGCCGAGCAAGAGCGCCGTCCTTGAGTTTTGGGGCCTGTCTGGCCAGAGCATCTCGGAGTTTACTGGAACACCCAGCGGCAAGCGTTGACGTCGCAGTTGGGCCTTAAGCGATCGATATTATGAAGTAAACCCGCGCTCGAGCGGGAACGTTGCTTTCAAGGAGAGACGTCCCCATAGACCAACATCTCCAGAAATGGGCATTCGACGACGGATGTCGGGCCAAAGAAACCCTGAGGTCCTCCACAAGCCGCCACACGCCTCTGTGATTCCACCGAGGGCCATCATTCCCAGGATCACGCCTTTCGAGCCCCACCCGGCGGCGACCACAACGGCCCAAGCGGCGGCGGCGGCGGCGGTGCGGCGGCGGCGTCGACGACCGTGCCGCGGCCTTGTCGGCGTCGGCCCGCAGCTCGGGATGTTTCCTCCCCATCTTTTTGACCTCCTCGCGGCGGGATCGACGCCGAGGCCGAAGAGTGGACGGAGCGAAAAGGACGTGTATCCCAACTTGGCGGCATGTCAGATGTTGGAAACAAGTTTGCGGACCTGGCCCCGCTGCCTCTTCACCCATTTTGGGGGGCATCCGCTGGGGAAACCAAAATACCGATGCCGCTGATCCTCAGGCCTCTCCCAGGGCGCTTCTGACCAGAATTTCGAAGCGAACCCCGCCACGGCGACAAAAACACCCCTAAGAGGCCCAACGAACATCGGAAACGAAGGAAGGACTGCCAGGGCCCAGCGGCGGCCCCCCACGGCCCGCCGGACGAGCGCTGGCACTGGAGCTCATCGCCAGACAACAGCGAGCAGTAAGAGGGTGCACTTTGGCCATCGCCGCCATCGCCGTTGCCGCAACGTTTCGCCACCGGGCCCGTCGGGCCAAACCGCCTACGATGTGGCAGCGAACGGGCATCGTCGACGATGGGTCGGAGACGGAGCGGAGAGATGCAGCGCACAATGAAGGGCTCAATGAACCTGGCGAAGGACCCATCCGTCTGCAGCAGCGAACACCGCATCGATGAATGCCGTACTGGGTGGGGGAAGCGTGCTGGGGCGCTCGGCCACGTAATACTGTGCTGGGTGGGAAAACCGCACGCGGACACCGCCTGTCGGTGGACGTCGGACCCACACACCCTACAGGCCCATCGATCGCTCACCCCGAAAGCCACAAGCTCCATCCAACGCGGGCCCAGCTCCCCGCTGCGCGCCTCGTCGCCGCGCCGGCCCGGCGAGCCGACCACGGCCTCGGGCGGGGCCCATTCCGACATAGACTCCGCTTCGGCACTCAGGAATGTCTGCCTGGTGCGCGCCGCGCGGATCCGAGCCGCGGAGGCGAGCGGAGCGTTGACCTCGTGGCTCCGCGCGATAAGCGTCGCCAGGTCGCGCTCCGTGAAGCCAAGCGAATTTCCCGCGCCTGCTTCCGCGCAGTTTCCAGCAGCGCGCGCCTGGGACGCTTCGCTCACAACTGGCCTCGGGCGCGGGCCCGCCTCGAGGCCCGCCCCGACAGGGCCGCGGCCTCGGCCTGCCGCGCCTGCTCCACCCGACAAGGCGGGAGGGAACGCGCACCGCGTGCCGGAGGCGAGGGGCCCTGTCCGAAGCCAGCGCTGCCCCACGCCCGCGCTTCGGTCTGACGCTTCCTCGGGTTCCCCTGCGCCTTGTCGGCGTCGCCGCCGTAGGCTCCGTAACCTCGTCGCCTCCGGCCCTTCTCTCCCGGCCCCTCTTCCGGCCCGCCACGCTACAGATGGTACGACTTCTCGGCGGCGACGATAGGGGCGAATAGCTCAGGGGCGGGCATTACACGTATTCGCCCCGGAGCCATTTTCGAAGGCATGCGTCATCGGCGCACCTGAATGCATGTATTGCTCCCCCCATGGGCTATTCGCCCCGACCGTCTCCTCTGAGCTTCGGGCTGCGCACAGACAGCCCCCCCAGGCAGCCCCGGCTGGCCTCGACGGAACCCCCGACAAGTCCCAGCTGGCCGCAAGCGCCCCCCGCGCAGCCCAGGGCGGTCTCCACACCCTGGCGCCTCTTTTGGCGGCGCCCCTACGGGGCGCTCCGCGCCCCAAAGCTGCGGTTTAGAAGACGCCCTGGACTGCTCGGGGGGCCTGTTGAGGCCAGCCCGGACTGCTCGAGGGGCCTGTTGAGGCCATGGAGGGGGGACTGCGCGCGCAACCTGGTGCCTTGGCAGGTACAGGGAGCTCTCCGACAGAACGAGGCCCCCGGTAGGGGAACGAAGAACGGCATAACGAAAATCTCGGAGGTCCGCGCGGATTTCTCGGATCCGCGCTGGACCCCCCCTGGCAGCGCCTCCGGCGCCACCCCTGGCGCGCTCCGCGCGCCAAGGAGGGGGATCCGACGCCGATCCGCGAATTCCGCGCGAACCTCCGAGACTTTACGTTTACGTCACTCGTCGTTCCCCCGACACTCGAGTGACGAACCAAAGCGCCAAGGCGCCGGGCGCCTTCCACTCTCGGCACCTCTGTGCGTGGGCGCAGCGCGCCTCCCACTCCGCCCAGCCATCACTGGGGGAGCTGTGGCCCTTATCCCCCTGGGGGAACCCATCGCATCGACGATCTCTCGAGAGGGGTGTCGAGGTCGGTGGGTCCCCAGGGGGGGGAGGAGGAGGAGGAGGAGGAGGAGGAGGAGGAGGAGGAGGAGGAGGAGGAGGAGGAGGAGGAGGAGGAGGAGGAGGAGGAGGGGGAGGAGGGGCAGCCTGCCACTGCCACGTCTCCGCGGGGGGCTCCTCTCTGTGGGGGCGCCGCGTGCCGCCCACCGTCGTCGTGGCTCGGCGGGCGCCGCCTCTGCAGTGGGCGCTGTGCGCCTCCCGCGCTCCAGTCTCATGGGGTCCCCCTCGCCAGTGACCGATCTTAGAGACAGGGGACCCAAAAGGGACATAAACACAAGAACTCGAAGGTCCGCGCGGATTTCTCGAATCGGCGCTGGGGCCCCCTGGCGGCGCCTCCGGCGCCGCCCCTGGCGCGCTCCGCGCGCCAGGGAGGGGGGTCCAGCGCCGATCCGAGAAATCCGCGCGGACCTCCAAGTTGTTTGTTTATGCCACTTTTTGTTCCCCGAAGACAGCAGAAAATCCACCCCCATAATGAGCACCCCGACAGGCGAAGCTGTTTAGTGAACGCACCCATGGAAGGACTCGATCAGGGCAGGGCCTTTTTAGTAAACGCCCAGGGCTGTTTCGTAAACGCGAATTGTCGGGGTCGGGGTGGTTTTTCCACCCTTGGGATATGCGCCCCACACTTCCCTTTCTCGTCGCAAACTTATCACCTCGCGTCTTGAATTCCTTCTGCTTGTCGTATAGAGAGCCCTCCCCTTCCTGCGCATGGCAGAGCACATGCGTGCGCGAATGATCACGCCAGGTGTGCACGCCGACGTGGATGACGGATCCATGGATCTGGCGCGTGGGCGCGAAATCCACGGATGGGGCAAAGTGCACCCGGAAGCATGGCGCCAGCGCCGCCTTTCTTGGCGACGGAGCGCGCCGATGTTGTATGGAAGCGGGAGCCGTCGCTTAGCCGCGGGCCTGAATTCTGTCCAACGCTGGAAGGAAGAGGGCGAAGATGAGGACCACGACGACAGTGGCGGCCCGACGACTACGACGGCACCGACGCCGACGCCGACGAGTGACGGCGACGACGGGCGTCCGCCGACGACGACGACTGGCACCCGCCGACGACGAAGACCGGCGCCCGCCGACGACGACCGGCGACGAGCGGTGACGACGACGACGACGCTGGCGCCGCCGATGACGCCGACCAGCGGCGGGTCGACGCCGCCGCGGCGCCGTGCGAGGGCGGAAGCTCGAAGGCCGCGTGGAGGGCGGCGTCCGTCAACGCGTCCGTCCACGGGTCCTCGTCGTCCACGCGCCTCTGGCAGGCCCGCTGGCGGGTTCCTTCTCGTTGCTGCTGCTGATGATGATGCTGTTGATGATGATGTTGATGCTGATTATGATGCTGCTGCTGTTGCTGCTGCTCTTGATGATGATGCTGATGATGATGCTGATGATTAGGATGATTATGAACATAGAGATGATGAGGGTGAGGGTGAGGGTGAGGACAAGTTAGCCAGCTCGAACGAGCCAGAGGGCTCCGTCCACTCCCACCCGCCCTCCCACAGGTGAGGATGAGGCTAAGGAGGAGGATGAGGAGGAAGAGGAGGAAGAGGAGGAGGAGGAGGAGGAGGAGGAGGAGCTGGAGGAAGAGAGGAGAAAATGGAAGGAGAGGAAGGACCAGAGAGAGCATTGCAGTTCTCGTTCCTGATGGATGAGGATGCGTAGGACGGAGGACATGGACAAGGAGGATAAGGACGACGGAAGGAGGATCAGGAGGAGGTTGAGGAGGAGGAGCAGGAGGAGAGACGAGGGAGGAGGACGACGACAACGCCGAAGAAAACAGCGACCACGACCACGACCACGAGAACGACGACGTCGACCACGACAGAAAACGAGGAGCACGACGGGGGCAGCTGCGGCAGCGGCAGCGGCGACGACGACGGCGGCAGCGGCGGCAGCATCACTATCAGCAACAACCACATCACATGCGCACCCTTCGAACGACAGAACTTCAGCCCGGAATGAGGATCTAGGTGTCGGAAAAGAAACTGCATGCCATACCTATTGGCCGAAACTCTCAAACTACAACGTTTCAGAGTCCGGCCTTCACCACGGATCCGGTGACTGAGCACGATCTCGCACGAATTCCTCCGTCAGAATGCGCAACAAGGATACAGACTGAGTCCCGCACGAGTCCCTCCTTTCCCCTCTCTGCCTCCTCCTCTCCCGCAGGCGACACAGGTACCACATCCTGCACAAAATGGGCAAGAACTGCTGGTGACCTTGGCCACCATTCCCGACCTGCCCATTTCAGCAGGTCTGCGTGTCATAACTCGGAACTCTGGCCTTCGCCGGGGACGATTCGGACACTCGCGGGGACGCCCTCGGCGAGGCGCCGCCGCAGGAGAGCACGCCCAGCTCGGGTAACTTCCGAGAACCGACAAAACATACTGAGAAACCTCGGTCGTACACCTCATGATCCGTACTCGTCTCACGAAAATGCGAAAAATTCGCCGACCCTGTCGGCGTGTGCGAGGGGCTTGTCCGTTCAAGACGTCTTCTCCGTCATTCGTTGGTCGTCGTCTCTGTCGTCCCCTTTCCCTGCCTCCCCCTTTCCCTGGGCTCGTCGAAACTCCCCTCTTTTCCAGGGACCTCCTCAGCGCGCCAACCAAAGCGAAGTTGAGCAACGTCGTAGTTGAGTCGAAGGGAAGCACCTTCCCTTCGATCCCTTCCCCGCTCGGGCGGGGGGTCCCCGGGGGGGGGTCAGACGCCCCACCAGGGAGTCCCGGAGCCCAAAAAAGCCCCAAGACGGGCCAAGAGGGCCCCAAGAGACCTCAAAGACAGTCCAAGAGAACCCCGAATCGCCGAACGATCTGTCCAAGGCGCCTTGACGGCCTCCCAACGGCCCAAGAGGCTTGCAAAGCGCCCCAAGAGGCCTCCAGGAGCTTTCCCACGAGAGCCCCAAGAGGCAACATTCATGGATTTCCAATACGTTTTTTACAAAAGTTGGCGTTCTTGCCTCTTCCGCTTCCCGACGTGCCAAGACTGCCCAAGAGGCCCCTCAAGATCGCCCCGAGACGGCCCAAGAGGCCCCAAGAGGGTCCCCTGACGGCCGAAGAGGGCCCCAAGACGGCCCAAGACGCCTCCAAGACGGCCCAAGAGGCCCCCAATATTGCCCCAGGACAGCCCAGGAGTGCCCCCAATTGCCCAGGAGGCCTCCAGAAGTGTCTCGAGACGGCGCAAGAGGAGCTCAGGACGGCCCAAGACGGCCTCAAGAGAGCCCCAGGCTGTCGTCCCAAGAAAGCCTCTGGCCTCCTCCTCCTCCTCCTCCTCCTCCTCCTCCTCCTCCTCCTCCTCCTCCCCCCTCCTCTGCTCCCCCTGCTCCTGCTCTCCTCTGCCGCCTTCTTCTTCTCTTGCTTCTCCTCCACATCCTTCTCTCCCATCATCCTCCCTCATCCACCTCCCCCACCCTTCCTCCATCTCCCACTCATCCTCCTCCCCCTGCCCCCCCTCGATTTCATCTACGTCGTTCTCAAGGTCGGCGGCACTGGCCATAAGGCCTTCGCAATACAAACATTTCGATCGCACTCGTCTCCGTACCTACCTCGGTTGTGCACATCATGATCATCACCTCCTGCTCCTCGGAGGGTGGCGGCGGCGACGTCGTCTGGCGGAGGCAATATTCGGCCTCGGGGGAAGCCGAGCATTACCGCCGTCGCCGCGATCAAGGTCATCTCCCCTCGGCGGAGGCAACCCACCGATACCGCTGCTGGCGCCAACCTCCCAGACCCCCGACGCAGAGACTGTGTCAGAACATCGACCACCAAATGTCTCAGCCCACTGCCCGGGACGGCTTTTTATCCAGAGCCATTTGTTCGGGGATCTGGCTGACCCGGGTCAATCCAGACCCGGGTCAGTCAGGCCTTGCAGAATCTTTCAAGATCCTGCACCCAAACCCGGGTCAGCGCGAAGGATCCTGCAAGACTCTGCAGGATCCTGCACCCAAGCCCGGGCCAATGCGAACCTGGCCCTGCAAAGTACTGCAACATCGGGCGCTCTGGCTGGCACCCGTCTGCATTGACCCCGTCTCAAGGCTCCCGAGGAGGAGGAGGAGGAGGAGGAGGAGGAGGAGGAGGAGGAGGAGGAGGAGGAGGAGGAGGAGGAGGAGGAGGAGGAGGAGGAGGGATCCTGGGCCCCAGGGCCCTCCCCCAGGAGCCCATCGTTGGAGGGTCTCGGGGCCCGCCGAGGGCAACACACAGCCCGTCGTGATGGCTGCAGGACCCACTGGTGGCCTTGCCAAGAGGGCCCCGAGAGGAACCCACGAAGCCCCCCAATGGGGCCCCGCAGGAGGCCCAAAGAGAGAGCCCCCGAAAGCAACCAAAGACGGTAAGAACAATGCGAAGCCCCACAGGGGGCCCGCAAGAGGCCCCCGAGAGCCCCCCAAAAGCAACCAAAGAAGGCAAGACCAATGCGAAGCCCCCAGGGGGCCCCCAAAAGAGGCCCAAGAGAGGCCCCTAAAGCAACCCAAGAAGGTAAGAACAACGATTTTCCGTAAGTCGTTGCATGTTATTCGTCGTCGTCGTGGCCTGAGCATTTTTCTCTAGGGTGGAGGGCTCAGGGTGAAATCCACATGGACTTCTGCACTTCGAAAATCGATCCGTCTTGTGATTCACCGCTGGCAGATTCAAACCTCGACAATCCATCGAAACGGCATTTCAGATTTCACCCTTTGCCCTCCACCCAAAGAATATGCTCCGGTGCCCCTTCAGGGTAGGCGGCACTGGCTGCACGACCTTCACAACATCTGAAGCCACCCGTCGCGACTTTGCATGACCCGGCTGGAGGCCTCCAAAAGCGAGTCAGGGTAGATGGGGTCGGAGAATCGCGCTGCATCGGAAACGCATCGCCGATACATCGGCGGTGCACCAACGACGTCGGCGGTGAATCGGCGACGTCGGCGTGGAGAAAATTGGAGCCGCAGCATCGCCGATGCATCGGCGATGCGGCGCCATCCTCCGACCCCATCTACTGTGACCGGTGGCGTCTGTTCCGTTCTCCACATCTCGCCCTTGAAACGACCAAGACGTTCTAAAAACGACACCCTGGAATGCGGACGTCAGATAAGCGGGATTGTGATACCTGAAGACGGTTCCAAAACATACTGAGAACGGAAACAAAAAGGACATGTGTGCCACGGACCGATCCTGTACCTGAGGCCTAGACTGATGGATTCGGTGGCAACTCACAGGAACCTCCCCTACCATCTTGCCGGCCGACAGTAATCGACGCTCATCGACGCGATATCGACGGTGATCGACGCTAAATCGACGCCAGTCGACGCTAACCGACGCCAACCGACGCTAAGTCGGCGCTGTCTCACCGACTACCGGACGCCACTCGACGCTGAAGACAGAATTGGGACGGCATACGAGGCTCCCATAGCTTGCTGCCGAAGGCGTGGGCCCCAGACTTAGGTCGGGCATGTCCCCTCGACAGGGGGATTTTGGGCGAGAAGTGACACGTGCTCCAAACATGCCCCCAGATAGCCAAGAAGTGCTCAAAACATCGCCCCCAGACGATCGCGTTCTACTACGTTTGAGCAATCCTCCTGCAGAGGGACAGGCCCGACTCAGCCCCAGACCTCCGAGGCCCAGCGCCCCTCCGAAAGCTGGCGGCTCGGCGGCGGCCGACACCAGGGCTTCAGGGCAGCTGCGGAGGGGGGGGGGAGGAGGAGGAGGAGGAGGAGGAGGAGGAGGAGGAGGAGGAGGAGGAGGAGGAGGGAGGAAGGAGGAGGAGGAGGAGAAGGAGGGCAGGAGGATGAGGATGAGGAGGAGGAGGGAGGAGGAGGAGGAGGAGGAGGAGGAGGGAGGGAGGAGGAGGAGGAGGAAGGGGAGGAGGAGGAGGAGGAGGAGGCCGGCGGCGGCCGACACCCGCGCCGCGGAGGGGCGCAGGGCGCAAAGAGCTCCCCAGGACGGCGCCGGGCGCCCCATCCCCTCCCCCGAGCGCGCGGAGCACGGCAGCGGACTTCTCTGCCGGGGGCCATCGGGCCCAAGCCACACTTCCCAGGGCTCCTCCTCCTCCTCCTCCTCCTCCTCCTCCTCCTCCCTCCTCCCCCTCCTCCTCCTACTCCTCCTCCCCCTCCTCCTCCTCCTCCTCCTCCTCCTCCTCCTCCTCCTCCTCCTCCTCCTCAATCTCCTCCTCCTCCTCCTCCTCCTCCTCCTGTGCGGAATTGGCGGCGCGCAAGGGGGGCGGGGGGTGGGGGGGGGAGGGCTTCTCAGGAGGGGGCTGCTCCTCAGGAGGCGCCGGCCTCACATCAACGAGATCAGGGCCCGCGCCTTCTGAGGAGCAGGGGTGCTTCTAAGAAGCCCTCCCCCCTCCCCCCACCTCCCCTCTGCTCCCCCCACCTCCCCTCTGCGCGTGGCCGACGAAAAGTGCCCCCTGGCCCAGGGCGCTTCCAGCTCGTCGCCCCACCGTGGAGCCCCTGGGCCCCTCTGGGCCCCGCGAGGGGTGCTCGGGAGGCCGCGGGGGGCCTCCCTGGGAGATCCCGGGGGCACCCTGGGCCAGGGGCACTTCCAGGCAACACCCGACGAGGTCCCCCTGGTCTTAGCGTTATAGGTCGAGCATGTCCCCCATACAAGGGGGATGTTGGGCGAAAAAAACCAAGAGTCCAAAAATACTCAAACCTAATCAGAAATGATATAGAAATCGTCCCCAGACCATGCTTTGACTATTCTTGGATATTCCTCCGGTAGAGGGACAGGCCCGACTTAATCTTAGCTTCGGGCAGATTATTGCCCAGGCCCCCAGGGCGGGAGCGGGAGCGTCCGAGAGCACCGCAGGTCGCGCCGGACGGCTCCGCGAGCCCCCCGGACCGCGCCATGGACTGCCGAGGTGGCCGACGAGAGGTCCGGAGGGTCCGGGCCGCGAGGTGGCCGCCGCTGCCGCCGCCGCCGCCGTCGTCGTCTTCATCCTCGTCGTCGTTCGCCTCCCTGGCCACATCGGACCTCCAAAACTTCCCTGGCACGTGTGGAGCGAGGCGTGGCGGCTCCTCGACAAGTTCGGTGGCCTTGGCGAGAGCGGGCTTTCGGTCAGACGGTTCAAGGCTCACTGCAGCCGTAAGCAGGTTCGCGACGGCGTCGTGAGCTACAGGGAAGACTGGTACGGCAGCAAAGTGAACGATAAGGCGGCCAAGTCGGCGGCGGCGCATGCCAGGATAATTATCCTGTGCTGCCTGCCTGAAGCTGGTGCAGAGCGGGCGCATGGTGGAGGGCGTCGCGATGTGGCTGTCGGCTGCGGTTTCGGCTGTGGGAGGCGACGACACGACGCACAGGAAGAGCAAGGCCAACCGCCCACCTTTACAGCCCGCCGAAGCGCCGCTCCGAGCACCGGATTTGGCATGCCAGCTGCGCGGCCCCGAACGCAAACGGTGGTGTGCGATGTGCAGGTGGATCCAGCGCAAATCTTGAGCAGGGACCAACCGTCCCCGCATTTCTATAGGCCTACCACGATATGTTCTTAGAACCCAAAAATGATCTAAGAACTAACACCAAGTTCTGAGAACATAAACCCGATAGGGCTAAAGCAAAACAGTCTCGGCCAAACATGCTCTAAGAACATGTTCTTAGAACATTATGTGGTAGGCATATAATCACGCCAGGACGCTTCGTCACTGCTTGATAATCGGAGGGCCCTGGCAACATCGTGGCGACGGCGCTTGACCACAACCGCGTGCTCGCGGGATGCCGGTCGATGGGCCCACCGTCTGGCGCGGGCGACACCGCACGCCGAGGGCCAGGTTGTTCCGCGAGATGCCCCGTCCTGGCTTAACTCGTAGTGCGGCGCTACAGTTAGGTCGGGCATGTCCCCGTACAGGCGGATGTTTCCTGTTTTTACGAACAAATCAAAACCTATATTCAAAAATAGCTAAAAAAATACTCAACAAATCGTCCAAATCTTCTTTCTCTATTTTTGAACAATCCTCCTGTAGAGAGACAGGCACGACTTGACGATACAAGGGCGTGCCGTGCGAGATCCTTCAGCCGAGAGTGCTCGGCACCGTCTTCAAAGGGAAAGGGCGTGCTGAACAAGCTCGCCGCGGGGATGGTGCCGTTCGGGAAGAACGTCACCGTGCAGGTGCGGATGCTGTGGGCACCTTCCGAGGCGTTCCAGTTCGGGAGCTCGTTGAACGCCTCCCTCGGGCACAGCTGGGCTAAGGTGCCCGCAGAACTTCGGCGCGCGGCCGCGACCACGTCGAACCTGCACCGAATCAGCGTCATCTTCGCTTCGAGTCCGCCTCGAGCCCGCTTCGGGCACAAGGAAAGACAGCGATGGGGGGGGCAGACGAGGTCCCTCGAAGGTGCAACGAAACTCTTCGACTATTTCGGTTGCACCTGTCGTTGTCACGACCTAGATGCCGCGTTGTCTTTCTCGACTACTGACCTCTTCTTCCTCCTCGACCTCCACCTCTTCCTCCTCGCCCTTGACCTCCTCTTCCCCGGCGCCCGCGACCTCCTCGACCTCCTCGACCTTGACCTCTTCCTCCTCGCCCTCGACCTCCTCTTCCTCCTCACTCTCGACCTCCTCGACCTCCTCGACCTCATCGCACTCTTACTCCTTGCCCTCGACCTCATCGACAGTATCCTCGCCGTCGGCCTCTTCGACCTCCTCGACCTCCTCGACTTCCTCGGTCGCACCCATCGTTATTACGAACTGCTGCCCCTCCGAGGACCGAACTTTGTGGTTTTGAATCATGGCTCGGCCCTCAGGCAGCCGTCCGTGAAGTTTCGGGCACCCGTAGAACGCTCTTGGCGAGGCGCAGCTGCTGGGAAGCATTCCGAGGCGAGAAAGACATCCTGGAATCGAAGAACACGTTCGACTCTTTCATCTTCGCGTATATTGATGCTGTGTTCTCTGCTTCGCCTACTTCCACTGCGCCGGTCGTTGTGACGACCTCCTCGACCTCCTCATCCTCCTCCTCCACTTCCTCATGGACCTCTTTCTCCTCGCCCTCGACCTCCTCGACCTCCTCCACCTCCTCGCCCGCGACCTCCTCGACATCCTCGGTTGCACCGATCGTTGTCACCATCTCTGGAAGTCCGCGCATATTTCCTGGATGGGCGCTAGGACCCCCTGGCACCTATCCAGGAAATCCGCGCGGAGCTCCGAAACTTATCGTCTGCTGCCTCGTCCTGTCTTCGATCTCCTCGACCTGGCCTTCCTCCTCGCCCGCCTTCTCCTCCCCCCCCACCCCCCCGCGCCCTCCTCCCCGCACTAGACCTCCTCAGTCCGCTCCCCGACCTCCTCCCCCTCCTCGCTGTCTTCCTCCTCGCCCGCGACCTCCTCGACCTCCTCGGCGTGCTCCTCTTCCTCCTCGCCCTCGTCCTCCTCGACCTCCCCCTCGCCCTCGTCCTCCTCGCCCTCGACCTCCTCGACCTCCTCCTCCTCCTCGCCCTCGACCTCCTCGCCCGCGACCTCCTGGACCACACAGACCGTTGTCACGACATCCCGCCCCCTCCGATCGAGCTGGCGGCGGCGGCGGCCGGCGGGACGCCCAGCGGGAGGCCCGCCTCCCTCTGTCGCTCGTCTTGTTCGCGCCCTGCGCCCAGAGCCTCGGGTGGCGCCCCTCCTGCTCTCCTTATTGTCGTCATCCCCACTAGTCGTCTTCCTCCCCCTCCTCCTCCTCCTCCTCCTCCTCCTCCTCCTCCTCCTCCTCCTCCTCCTCCTAGCCGCCCATTCGATTTTACCATCCGCGTTCATCGTGTCTTAGCTCAGAGTTGACCTACCTGGCCCACGATCGCCCCCAAATCTGGGGGGAAGGCGTGTAGCCAACCCGTCTTTGAGCCACGTGCCAAGCCCAAGGCGGGCGCCGCCTTACTCGCTCCTGCTTCGCCCCCCCTCCCCCCCGCCCGTTCGGGGCACTGGGGCCGAGGTTGTCGTTCCTCTTCAGGACGAGTAACATAACTGGCATGCTCACCAGCGGGTGGAAATTCAGCCCAAGCGGATGTGGGAGACATGTCGCACTAGAGCCCGAAGCGAGGCCACCAAGGGCAAGCGAGACACCGAGGACCAGGGTACAGCCTGGCCTTTCAAGAGCTCTCCGAAGGCAGCAAGGGCCACAACCTAAAAGTGTTCCCGAGGCTCCAAACCGAGAGCCGCCGTTTAGCATCTTGAGACCGCGGCGCGTTTTCAAAGTGTATGGCCAGAGGTTCCCAGAAGCCCTACCCCCGCGCCCCCCCTAGCAACAACAACATTGCGGCCTTGCCCTGTTTGAGATGGCACGGACATCCCAAGCAAGGAAACTTCAGTCGAATCGAAATCGATAAGCCCGTGACCCCCTCACCATGTCTTTTCGGGCAGCGCAACAGATCACATGCGCGGGAGGACGAGAGCAGCAACAGCCAGCAGTAGTCTGCCAGGCTGACAAGCGCCACCGAGGCGCAATCATACGAAGACGCCTGTCAGTCAGATGCGATGGTCCTCCTCCTCCTCCTCATCATCCTCCTCGCCCTCCTTTTCCTCGTCCTCCCCCCTCCTCGCCTTCCTACTCCTCCTTTTCCTCCTCCTCCTCCTCCTCCCACTCCTCCTCCGCCTCCTCCTCCTCCTCCGCCTCCTCCTCCCCACCGCCCTCCTCGATCTTGGATTGCCTGGACGCAGCAGTCGCGTAGATTTGCGGAGCTGAAGTCACGGGAAGGGTATTGTTGCACGGATAAGATTTCTCAGACCGTTGTCTTTCAATGGGGCTTCCTGCAAACGAGAAGAAACTCTTGTAGGGAATTGTGACGAGGAAACTTGGAGGGAGGGTGTGTTGCAACATCGTTGGTCCGCTTGTGCCAAACACTGGCTCTCCTCCTCCTCCTCCTCCCTCCCTCCCTCCCTCCCCTCCCCTCCCCTCCCCTCCCCTCCCCTCCACAATTACTCAATATGAATACTACTCTCCCTCTTCCCCTGATGACGGAATGGGAGTAGCCGACCCCCCCTTCTGTTTTTTACACACAAGTTTCCCCGGAGTTGGGTTATCGCCTGCATGTTTTTTCCAAAATGCTGCTCTTGCTGAGGCGCCGGCCTCATTTTCGGGCCCCGCTCGTTCCGAATCACGTGCTCCCGCTGCAGCGCTGGCCTCATTTCCGCCGGCGCCTGGGCTGCACGCCCGAGCCCGGAGCCGGTTCCGGCCGGCGCCGGAAAATGGAGTTCCGAGGCGGCGCCGAAAAAAATAACATTCTAATACAAATTTTTCTTTTGAAAATATTCAATTTCTGCTTCCGGCGCCCGGGAGGCCTCCTGGGCCGATTCCGACGCCAAGGCCGGCGCCCGAGGTGGCGCCCGGGCCGGACGCCCGAGCCGGCGCCCGGGCCGGCGCCCGGGCCGGGTCCGGAGCCGGTTCCGGCCGGCGCCGGAAAATGGAGTTCCGAGGCGGCGCCGAAAAAAGGTTTTGAAAATCCTCAATTTCTGCTTCTGGCGCCCGGGGCGCCTCCCAGGCCGATTCCGACGCCCGGGCTGGCGCCAGAGCCGGCGCCCGGGCCACTTCACGGGCGGCGCCACATAGGCGCTTATAAGGCATGCTTATAGTGCGTCTATCTCAACTTACAAGTAGGGTAAGTGGACTGTACAAGTGGCCTAAGCAAACGTACTCTGACTACAACTCAACATTGATTTATATCTCGGGTATCATGCGTATGTTTGAATTGTAACTGGAATTGCGAAATTATGTCATAAGCGCGCATCTGGACTTACGAACACTTACGAATCAGTTAGCTTCCATTGCGGAAAACGCCCCATGAAAACTCCTAGCTTTCATTGCGGAAAACGCACCATGAAACCACTTACAAAACACTTAGCTTCCATTGCGGAAAACGCCCGATGAAAACCGATAGCCCGACCGAAGGGTTTACATCCCGATGAAGGCATCAGTCCCCGAAGCGAGGGCCCGCCCTATCGGATGGCCGCGCGAATTTCCAAATTAGCTGGGGACGGATGATGACAAGTCATGTGTCGGAGGCTCGCCCTGACATACGGCCGAATCGGGGCCTCGCGCGGCTTACCCTATCACTTCCTGCCCGCCCCTCTCCCTCTCACTCCATATCTCTCTCTCTCTCTCTCTCTCTTTCTCTCTTTCGCTCTCTCTCTCTCTCTCTTTCTCTTCTCTCTCACCCTCTCTCTCTCTGTCTATCCCTGCCACTCTCTCTCTCTCTCTCTCTCTCTCTCTCTCTCTCTATATATATATATATATATATAGATCGGGTATACCAAAGAACAGGAGTAGTAAGGGGGTTTGTTAACTGGATTAACAACCTTAGCTAAGCTTTAGCTGAAAGGGTAGAGCGGAGGAAATCTCAGGCGAAGGCTCGATTCCAAAGTAACTTATGAGGAAGTCCTGCGCGAAAACGTCACTCCCAGTATGCATCGGGTGCTCCAGGGCTCGGGGTCTCCAGACTCCCAGGGCAATTCGACGCTTGCTACAGGCGTCGGGGTCTCCAGACTCGCAGGGCTTCAGGGCAGCTGCGGAGGGGGGGGAGGAGGAGGAGGAGGAGGAGGAGGAGGAGGAGGAGGAGGAGGAGGAGGAGGAGGAGGAGGAGGAGGAGGAGGAGGAGGGGGAGGAGGAAAAGCAAGAGGAGGAGGAGGAAGAAGAGGAGGAGGAGGAGGAGAGGGAAGGGTAAACGTAAGAGTAAGAATAAGAGTCCCAGGGCATTGTCTAACTATCCGACATCACGGCGGCCCCTCATGGACAATCAGGGCCATGAAAAATCTGCCCAACAGCCGAGTCTTAGACCCCCCATGTTTGACTAAACAGGGGGAGGGGTCTAGAATTTGGCAAATTCCCATGTATTTCCACAATTCTCCGCCCCCGAAAAAGCCTCCCACGAGGACCCATTGGGGGGCGCGAGATCCATCAACATGGGGGGGTCCATAGACCCCACCTGGGGACCCTTCGCCGTCGTCGTCGTCGTCGTCGTCGCCGTCGCCGTCGCCGTCGCCGTCGCCGTCGTCGTCGTTGTCGTCGCCGTCGCCGTCGCGGAGGACGAGGATGAGGAGGGGCGGGAGGAGGGGGGATGGGGGAGGAGGAGACGAATGAGGCAAAGGAGGAGTGGGTGGGATGGGGGCAACGAGGAGGAGGATGCTGATGATGAGGAAGTTTTTTGTTTGTTTTTTTATATTTTTTTATTTCTCATCGCGGAGTTGCCTCACAATTCTTGGCGGCGAGCCTACCTTGCAGGGGCTAGCTGGCGGGGTCATTTCAAGCGCGAGCGAGCGTGCCTGCACATGCGTCTATAGACGCCATCCCTGCGCAGGGCACTCGCTGAAACCCATACAGCAAAAGTTGCGCTATCGAGACGCCTTCGCGTGCGCACCAATGATAGGACGGAGAAGCCACCAGGGAAGCACCCCATGGGACGGAGAAGTCACATGGGGCGGGGAAGCCACCAGTCTGCCATCACTTGCCGTAGTTCACGTGCTCCAGGAGCATGTCCCACCCTCCTTCTTCGCGCGCCACATCTTCTTGCCCATGCTCGTGTAGATAGTCCAGCCGCTGGGCAGGCGCATGATCGGCTTCGGGCCCTTCGGGGCCCCTGGGGACTTCAGGCACGGGCTGGCTTTCAGGACCCCCGCCTTCTCGGGGACGGGCGCGGCTGCCGAGGCCGCCTGCTTCTTGGGGGCGGCTGCCGAGGCCGCTGCTGGCTTCCTCAGCGCAGCTGCTGGCTTCCTGGCAACCTTCTTCTTCCCCTTGCCAACGTCCTTGCCAAGCTTGCCCGCCATGTACTTCAGGAGGCCGCCCACGTCGGCCGCGGGAGGCTCAGGCTGCTCCTCGTCCAGGACCGCTCCGCCCATGGGCTCGTCGGCTGGCGCTCCGTCGGCGGTGGCCGCCATCTGACCTGCGGGAGCGGCGGCGGCGGCGACTGGGGCCGCATCCAACGATGGCGGACGCGCTGGAGTCGGAGGCGACGCCCGCGCCGACGAACCAGGCGATCCACCCGCGGTGAGCGCCGCTGGGGGGCGGTCGAAGATCGTCAGGTTGCGGGGCGCCGAGTCGTTCGCTCGGCCGCTGAATTGGCCCGTCATCAGCGACTGAAGCATCTGCATCATGTTCTTCTCCAAGCTGTACGCGGGGGCATTGTGCGCGCGGCCCGTAGGGGTAGCCACCGACGTGTAAGTGCGGCGAGCAGGCAACGCGACCCTGCCGTCGACGTCGTCGTCGTTGTCGTCCTCGCCCTCGCCCTCGTCGTCGTCGTCGTCGTCGCATGCGGTCGACGATCGGCGACGACGACGACGATCGACGATCGACGACGACGACGACGACACTGCGCCTCAGCTGCAGCAGGAAGTTCTCGTCCACCATGCAGCCCGCGGGGGCTGCGAACTGGAAGGCGCGGTCGTACACCCTCTGGTGTAGGTTGCGGAGCGTCGCGGGCGAATCGGAGCTTGGTTGGCCACGCCGTGGTGAGGCAAGCGACCCTTGGAACGTTTGCGCCTCATGGGCGCCTTCAGGTCGGCGAGCATGCCCAACGCGTTGTGGGCGTTAACCAAGTGATTGGCCTCTCCAGCGCCCGCCTGCGAGGCGGCCGCGATCACGGCGAGCCGGTGCACGCGCGTGATCTCCGACGGGCACGCGCAG